TGCCTCGAAATAAGGGAACTCTGATGATGAGACCTAGGCAGAAGGGCGTTTCCTCATCTGCTTTCCTTTTTAAATCATGAGACTGAATTAGTTCTCTTGCTGCTATTTTTAAATAAAAATAATAAAACCATGGAATTTGTTTACACTATTAAATATACTAAGGGCTGAATAAACAGAACAAAAAAAGGTCTTCATGGTCTTCATACCAAATCTTGAAATAATTCTATGATTACAACTTACTTCTCTCAGCTTCTCCTTATCAAAAACTCAAGAATTATCATGACAATATTTGATCTAAGTATTTTCAGCATTCCTTCATTGTTCCCTAATTTTGTCTTTGCCTTCCCACATTTATTTTTCTATGATCTGTTATTGGTACAGCGTTTTAAAATGTAAACCAGGTTTAGTGCTTCTCATGTCCAAGTTCCTGGTATCAGCCCAGTCTGTACTCTGAATTCCCACTTCTTGCTGATCACACTTCAGAGTAGTGATTTCCTAACGACTTTTGTCCTGCTACACGCGTGGGAGACCCAGACTGAATCCTGAATTCCTTGCCTCGGCCTCCCCATCCCTGGCTCTGCTCAGCATTTGGAGAAAAAAAATGGCAGGTAGAAGTGGTGCATTCTCTTTGTCTCTCTCAAAGAAATAAAATTAGGCCCAGCACAGTAGCCTAGTGGCTAATGTCCTTGCCTTGTACATGTGGGGATCCCATTTGGACGCCAGTTCAATTCCCAGCAGTCCTGCTTTTCATCCAGCTCCCTGTTTGTCGCCTGGGAAAGCAGTTGAGGACAGCCCAAAGTGTTGTGACCTTGTACCCGCATGGAAGACCCAGAAGAGGCTGCAGGCTCCTAGCTTCAAATTGGTTCAACTCCAGCCATTGCAGCTGCTTGGGGAGTGAGTCAGCAGATGGAAGATCTTTCTAGCTGTCTCTCCTCCTCTCTGAATACCTAACTTTCCAATAAAAAAAGGAAAAGAGAAGAAAGTCAAATTGAAAGTTAACAATAAATGAATCAGGGCTCTGCTTATCATGTTGATTCATAGTCGGTTTTACTCATTTGAAGTTGTTTCCTGAGACCTAACCAGAGGACACATGAGTCATTTCCAGAATCTGTGTTCTTGCCCCTTGTCCTACCGTTCCTTACATGCTGCACTTAAACCGAAAGTCTTGTTCTTTTGTGACTGTTCTCCTTCTAAGAATTTACACCAATACGTTTGTACTTTCTGTTTCATCTTTTAAAATACTATTCTGACATATAGTCAGGCCCTTTCTGTTACCTAGTGCGCAAATGTTAAGAACTCAAGATAGACCTTCTTAATATTTGAATCTTTAACGTGTTTCTCTTTATTTGTATTAGCTGCTTATTTTCTCCTCACTGGCATGTAAAAATCAAAATAACATGCAGGATATCTTCAGTTTCTGTATCAATTTGAAAATAAAGTGCTTCTTCTAGTTATCTCTGTTGAAAGACCTACTTGTGTTAAAGATTACTTTCGCATTATAATACTTTTCTGACATTATTTTTCTTTTTTGCTTACTGTGCTGTTTTGTTTCTTATGTATTTTGGCTAGGCACATTGCATTACACAGTGACAGTTTGAGCTCAGAAGCTGGGTTCAAAAGGAAGTAGATAGGACCTGGCACAATGGCGTAGTGGCTAATTCTTTGCCTTGCATCCACAAGGATCCCTTGTAGACATCTGTTACTGACAAGGCAGCTGCCTACTTGGCAAAGCAGTAGAGAATGGCCCAAAGGACTCAGGACCCTGCGCCCACGTGGGACCCTGGAGGGGCTTCTGGCTTTGGATTAGCTCAGCTCTTGCCGGTGACAACTGGAGAGTGAGCCAGCAGATGGAAGATTTTTCTCTCTGTGTACTTCTGCCTTTCCAACTGTAATAGATTACTCTTTTCAAAAATAACAATTTTTAAAAATAGATAAATAAAAGCAAAAATTATTGAACTAAAGCCAAACCAATAAGCAGTAGCATCTGCAGGGGATTCCAGTCAGGTCAGTGTTGATCACGCTCCCAGCACCTTGACCTTGAAGCCATTTGCTCTAACGGTCTCCTTGGACCCTTCCTGTCTCTGAACTGTTCTCCTTTCTTATACAAATCAATTTTTGATAATATTTGTAATCTTCCTTCGTAAAATCAATGGTTTTTATTTTGAAACACAGGATTATTTTTAAATTTATTGTTTGAGATATTGTATTAATGAAAGATACAATTTCTTTAAACGTAAGTCTAAATGGCCACTGACTTAAATACTGCTTTACATTTTGCTGTAAAGATAATTACAGTTATCATAAGCATGAAATTGGCCTGAAAGTAGAATTACAAAATAGTAAGTTGGTTGTGGATGTGTTTCAGATACATGACAAATACATATATGTGTAGTATTATGTCCTTACATGGTTTTTGCACCAAGATAAACTTCTCTTAATTCCATATTTCATGCCATTTTTTAGAAAGCAATCTTAAGTTTATGTGTGTCATTAAGGAGAAGTAGTGAGATTTTAAAAGAAACACATGTCCATTTATTTATTTATTTTTAAACATATTTTAAAAATTCATTTTTTATTAGAATTTCTTTACAATCTTTACATAGTTATTAGGGTAAAAAGGTTCAAGGGCTATAGGGAAGTGGGTTAGACTATTATTTCTATATTGTTTCCTTCATGTATCTGAGGTAAAGAGAGATATTGAGAGAGAAGCCCCACCCAGTTTCCCACCCACCCCAGGTCCTAGCATGCTCTGAGGGTCTTGCTCTGAGGGTCTTGATTTTGATAGTTTACCAGTTATGAATCGCTGCCAGTCTCTCCACTCCAAGCACGATGAGGTCGCTGAAGAATCCACTGATTGATATAGTCCTGCATAGAGTCTCCATTTGCCCAGTATTTCACTGCCAACATATAGCTGAGGTGGTTGATTGACTTGTTCTGTCTTCTGTCTTTTCTTGATTAGGGTTCTGAGTCTGGCATTTCGATTGGGGAGATCCCCAAAGAAACTAGACCAGATTCTTATATGTATTAGCAAGCACAGGGCCCGACACAGTCCATCACCTCGATCAGCTGGTGGTTGCAATTGCTGGGTTGGTTTTGTTTTCAGCTCCGACTTCCACTAGAACCAATGGGTGTTGCAGTCTGGTTCTGCCCAGCCACATTCTCGGCATCACTTAAACAAGTGGGAGCTGTAGCCTAGTCGGAGCAACCCACAATAACCCCCACCAGGCCCGCCCCCTACCCTGGTTTGCCAGTATGTGTAGCAGATTAGTCCAGTCTGTCCCACAACCCATTCGGCTCTCGTACATGTCTGTCGATGGGTATTAAAACTTAGTTCCTTCTAACCAGCTCAACTATCCAGCCCTCATGGATGTTGTTGGGTGCCTCTCTGTCTAGCCACCCCAGCCCCTGTCCTAGTTTTCGTGCCCTCCTGTGGGAGTGGTAACCCAAGAGAGAGGAGCCCACTATTTTCCTCCCAGGCCTCTCCCACTCCCGGATTATGCACTCTCCAGGTGGTTCTGTGGTTTGACTTGACAGGTTTAGCCCCCAGTGCCAACTTCTGCCAGCTGATGCTGTGGCTAAGCCCAAACAACCCTCACCAACTCTAATTTTGTTTGCACCAGTAGGAATAATCAGCCCAGCCTGGCTTTTCCCTGATCTAGTCCACATGAGGCACACAGGTGTTGTAGCACCCTGCTTAGTCTAGTCTGCCCCCATCCCAGCTCATGCTAGTGGGAGTACCTGTCACGCAAGGAAACCCCCCCATATTCCCCCTGCTGGCTCTGCCCCTCCCTTCCTGGTTCTCACCTGTGCTGGTTGGGCCCTGCGGTCACTTCTAGTACAGGCAACCTCATCTTGGCATTCCGTATTGTGCACTGGTTTTTGTCACGACCAAACCTGGCTAGACCCACACTCTGTTCCAGTGCTCGGATTTGCCAGTGGATGATGTGAACTGATTCAGCCTGGTCTGCCCCCGACCCATGCCAAATGTATGCCAGTGGGAGACTTTCCATGGCCTGTTCTGGGCTGTTTCCTATCCTGCTTCTTGTGCTTACCTGCAGGGTCTGTGCCCTGCCAGAGGAGTTGCCCAGGCTCCTCTATCAGAACCTCTTCCAGTGCCAGGTTTTGCGCATACCAAGGGGACCATGAGCCAGCCCTACTCAGTTCACCTCTTGTCCTAGCAGGAACAGTAAAAAGAAATACATGCCCATTTATTTAAATGTGTATGTGTTAACAAGTGAATCAGTTTTTCTGAACAGCTGAATCATTCATTTTTGGAAACTAAATATTTGCAACTGAGTAATCTAGAAAGGAAATTGGCAGCACAGTCTTTTATTGTTCCTTTTCCAATATTATAAAGTGTATCTCAATAATGAAAATACATCAGCTGACAAACATTTAACATCTGCATTATTGATGCTTGTTACAGTATATGAAATAGGAATGACAGTCTTGAATAAGAACGATATTGAGTAAGTGTGCCTTTAAAAGTACATGAACCTCAATACTGTGTCGATTGGAAATCGATCGGATATATTTTAACAGACTTCAGTTGTTTGGTAGATCAGTGCATTTTTCAGAGGCTAAGAGTGCTGCAAACCAGTGGAATTAAGAGAACAAAGAACAATCTCTGTATAAAGATCATAGGTTGATGTAGACATTAAGGATGCAGCCAGAAGTGTTTGTATAATCAGCTCTGCTGTCAGAAGAGAGCTCGGTCCTCAGTCTGTTCTCCCTGGAATGTGTAGATCTGGTACTAGGAGAAAGCAGTGTTGAATGTAATGTTAATATTCCCTGCCACTAATTTGGTATCGCTAATAGAAGTCATATTGTTCTCCATAGAGGCAAAGCAAATTACTTTGCATAAAAAGATAATTAGCTTACTTTTACAAATTAATTTTTAAATGAAACTGGTTTTCTTCATGTGTCTGTTTTGTAGCTTTTAACTTATAGATGAAAATTTGGTTCAATGGAGAATGCTATAATACTGCCTTGTTTCACAGCCATGAAACTCATGACTGCCCTGGTGAATGTCGCCTTAAACCTCAGTATTCATCAGGACAACACACAGCGGCAGTATGAAGCCGAGAGGAATAAAATGATTGGGAAGAGAGCCAATGAACGACTGGAGCTGCTGCTGCAGAAACGCAAAGAGGTACGTTCCCTGAAAACGCTTGGTATTTTTATGTTCCATAAAGATGAACTAGATACGTTTGTAATTTTTGTGTTCCCTATAAAAATGTGTATTTAACTTCAAATTTGGGATTTTCATTTCCTGGACTAGAGAGTATGTAGGGAATGTGCTTCTGGGCCATAGTTTCTACTATGCCAGCTGATTGTGAAGATAGACAACCAGCGCCCCCATTGGCACCCCCACCAGGTGCTCCCATTGGCACCCCCACCAGGTGCCCCCATTGGCACCCCCCACCAGGTGTCCCCATCGGCATCCCCACCAGCGCCCCCGCCAGCACCCTCACCAGGCTCTGTTGTCAGTATTTTTTGAATAGTGTGTTCTTGTATCACTTCATGTCTTCACAGTTTGTGTGCCCGAGCTGTTAGATACTTGTTACAAAATGTGCTTTGTGATTTATAGTTTTGTCTGACTGAAGACTAGTATGTATTTCTGAAACAGATAATAACTTGACAGTAGGAGTCTGGTGTGCTTAACCAGAACCACCCCCCATCTTTGTTAGTCACTGTGCAGGGATGTGTCTAGAACATATTTTAGATAGGCTGTACAAAACACTGAGATTCAGTGGTTTGGGCATATATTAAATGGGTTTTCAACTTAGCAGATTTTAAATTTAATGAAGGATATATCAGTAGATAATCATCTTAATTTGAGTTACATTTGTATTCCCAAAGTTACTTCACTAAAACTTGCAACAGAAAATTTAAAAAGAAATCTGAAAGAATTTTGTTGTTGTATTTATATGTATGTAGATATACTTTTTATTTATATATGTAAAATAAAAGCGAAATGTAAGAACAAAAATTATCCTACTGGTAATTTGAGATATCTCTTTACACAAATGAGAAAAGTTTAGAAACTACTAAGGTTGACAAAAACCAGAAATTACAAACAATTGCAACTGTTTATTTCAAATTATTTAATGTAATTATTGCCATTTGCATTTTCATTGTTTTTCATTTCAGCTGCAAGAAAATCAGGATGAAATTGAAAATATGATGAACTCTATTTTTAAGGGTATATTTGTTCATAGATACCGGTAAGGGATTTTTTAGATGATTTTTAACTTGAACCGTTCTTACTTATTTACAAGCCCCTATTTATAAAACTGTATGGCTTTGCTAATTATAACTTTTTGTTTCCTGGAAAATTTATCATGTATTATTCTTCCTTTATTTATAAATGCTAAGTGAATAGGCTATGTCTCTGAAAGAAACTATACCACCACCACCACTAGTGCTGCCATTTATTCCAATTTAAAACATTTTTGGAGGCAGACCCTGTACTTGGGTTTGTGCTGATAAACTGTTAGTAAGATTTTGAAGTTAATGCCTTCCTAGAATATGATTGCTTTCACATTTGTAAGAACTAAATGCCCTACTTCTTGCCCTGTGGTACTGTCTTAATTCATAATAAAAATTAATCAATAATTTTTTTTTCCAAAGCCTCTGTGAAGATGGGAGAAAAGAGAACAGCAAAGGGCGCCCCTTCAGATAATGCAGTGCTCTGCACCCGTGTCTTGTTTCCTGTTAGGAAAGTATTGATGTCATACTCCATGGCCAGATTCTGACAACTTTAAAACATAACACTGTGAAAAAAGATGATTTCTCATAGAGCTAGTAAACTACGGCTGTTTACTTGTTACCTGCTGTTAATCATATGTGATTTACAAACATATAGGATCTATGCAAGATAATAGCATTTTTCAAATACATTTGAGACTGTAATTGGTCAGTTCCTATAAAGAAATAATTAAGCATTTAAAAATGTACAACTTTGATATTTTAGCAAAACTTCTTTAATTCTAAGTATGGATAGATTTTGTGATGTTGTAAAAAATATAGGTGAAATCAGTGGAAGCGAGGGTATTTGGGGAGGAAGTTAGGGAAATTCCAGAGCGTATGGAACTTTGTCATATAAGAATAAAGTGAGAGTGGGAGACTTTGTGAAATGGCACCAAAGCCGACTGTCTGACTTGGTCTTTTTTTTTTTTTTTTTTTTGCATAAACTACTTGTGCAATGCATAATTTACACATACATCATTTACTTTCTATACTGTTTTTCAGCCACATCTGTATGAAAGTGTAATTGACAACAAAAGGTTAACTGCATGTTCAAATGCATAATTTGAAGTATCTTAACATATATATACCTTGAAAATTGCCATCACAAACAAAATAATATTTATCACCTTAACGATTTTTCTTTATTTTAATGTTTCAGTTTTTTTGTTGTTTGAAGTTTTTCCTCCTGTATGCACAGGAGAGGAAGGGGGAAATCATTGCATCTTCCTTTTAAACTACATTAGCACCGGGGGTCATTTAGTGATGCTTGGGAGACCCCATTGTGGGAAAGAATATTTCAAGGGTGTTACTTGAGTGATTTTGATTTTGTAAAGTTTGTGAAGTTGATGGTTTCATTACTCCATGTTTGACAGAATCTTTCCAGGGTCTGCTGATTGACAAATTACCCCTTAGTGCAGTCATAGACCCAGGAACATGCTTCACATCTTGGCCGGGGAACTCCAACCTCTCTGCCTTCATCCTCCGGTGTGGCAGCTGACATACCCTGCTGGCCTAGATGGACCGGATGTCATGTCCTCCGTGGGCGTGTAGGCGTGCTGTCCACCACACAGGCATCAGCAACAGGGGAGGGCCAGGCCCGATACATGCACTCTAAGATTGGACCACACATCTGTGACTTACTGTGGCCAGGGTCTGAGTCCAACAGTCTGGTCAGGGAGTGCCCCGGGACCTCAGACCTCAGTGTGCCCCAGCCAGCGCACACAGCAGTGAGTGCAGCAGCCTTCTCAGTTCCGTGTGGGCCCTATATGCAAAAGAAATTGGAAGATAAGTGTATTTTGTTGTAAAATGCTTAGGTATGCAAGGAATTTCATGAAGTTCAGTTGGATTTTTTATTATTAAGAAAATATGCATGAATGTCAACAGTTTATGGCACCAGAAAATAAACTTTTGATTCCAATTTTGCCATGGACATCTTAAAATACAGCTTTATTCTTTATGTTCTACATGAATTTGTAGAATTGGTGTTATTTCATATTCAGGAGTGTGTTTTACCGTTGACTAGAGTTTTCTTTGTTAGCAGTGTTTTTAAGTGTCTAACTCTATATAGGAATGTTCCAGTAATCTTTTTCTTCAAGAAATTAGTACATTAATAATTGTTTTTGTATATTGTATTCAGAAATTACTGTTGTAAAGTTGTTTGTAATGTGGGTAATTTTACGTGTCTTCATTCCTTTCCCCCTCTTTTTCCTTCTGTGGTTATTCTGTCTAGGAATAATTAATTTTACCTGAAAAATGGGATTTTGCTTACATCAAGTTTTTGCAATTTTTCTATTATCGGCTCACATTTAATTTTTACATTTATAAGTCTATCGTAAGATATAATATGTAAAGATGTTTGCAGTCTTTAGTGGGTTTTTTTTTCATCTTAATGGTTATTGTTCGTAAATATCTGCAGTTTGTGTGAATCTAATTTCCCAGTTCTCTTCTATGTTCATATTTCTGTTGAACATCTGTAAATTGGCTGGATAACACAAAGGTTTCTTCTGTTTCAGACTGGAAATTTACTAATTCTGTATTTTCTATTAGGGAATTTGATTTTTTAACCTAATTTTTGTACAAGGTATATGAAGATATAAGCATATTCTGCAAATAGACATTCTACTCTGTGATGTATAATATATAGCATTCTTCTTTTCTTAAAGACTCATTTTCTTATTAGAATGGCAGATATACAGAGGAGGAGAGACAGAGAGGAACATCTTCCATCAGATGATTCACTCCCCAGGCAGCTGCAACAGCCAGAGCTGAGCTGATCCAAAGCCAGGAGCCTGTAGCCTCTTCCAGGTCTCCCACACAGGTGCAGGGTCCCAAGACTTTGGCCCATCCTCAACTGCTTACCCAGGCCACAAACAGGGAGCTGGATTGGAAGCAGGGATGCCAAGATTAGAGCCGGCGAGGACTTTAGCTGCTACGCTATTGCACCAGGCCCAATATATAGCATTCTACCATATAATGAAAGATGATCCTTCCCCTATTTAGCGTTCTTAGTACTTTTCCTGATAGTTAAACATTTCAGGTTTTTTAGTCTGTCTATTGTTATACTCATACCATTGAGCCAAGTAACTATAGAATACATTTTTCAAAAATTATTTCAACAGTGATAGTTGGTAGTTTTATATACATTTCAGGATCGATGTGTCACTTTTTACACAGACTTGTGCAAATTTTAAGAGGTGTTCTGAATCTGTACACCATATTAGAGGGAGTCACACTGTTCACAGCAGTGACTTCACGTCAACACGTTGTGTTCTGTGTTGATTTCCTCATTCCTTGATGTCTTTGATGCTGTTAGATTTCTTTCTCAGTGTTTTATATTGCTGTGAATGTGATTTCTTTAAATTTTCTTTGAAAATTGTAAGGAGAATGAAGTAGATTCAGAAAAATATTCCATCCACTGTTTCACTGTACACATGGCTGGGACCAGCTGATACCAGGATTCGGGGGCCAGGAACTTCCTCTGGGTCTCCTCTATGGTTGCTAGGTCCCAGAAATGTGGGCCATTTTCTGGTGTTTTCTCAGAGATTCTAGAAGGGAGCTGGATCAAAAGTGGAACCATGGGTATCTGAGCTAACTCATGTGGAGTGCCGGCAGGTGGCTTCTCATCCCGCTATGCCACAGGCTTACCCCCGGTGCATACTTCTCATTTTGCTTAAGATTCTTGGAAAAGTTTGATTTTTTTTTTCTCTAAACAAATGGAGAACTACCTCTATGTTAGTAATTTGGGGTTGAACTTAGGTGAGGGTTTGTTTGTTTTGGGTGGGTTTATTTTATTTTTTGTAGAGTCTGCCATTTTCTCTGTACACAATTATGTCACCTGTGAATGAAAACAGCTTTAATTCCTCTTTCTGAGTAGCTTTAGTTTTCCTCTTTTCCCTCTGTTGTACTGCACAGAATCTTTAGTTTGATGCTGAATAGACGTAGTTAGAAAGGATGCTTTTGTTGCATTCATAATGTTTTTTAAAAGAATTATTTCTTTTTCATTAAAAAGTTACAAAAAGAGAGAAAAGGCATGTCTATCCACTGGCTCACTGCCCAGGTGGCCGCAGTGGCTAGAGCTTCTTCCAGGTACCCCGTGTGGGCTCAGGCTGCTAAGGACCTGAGCCATCTGCTGCTGCTTTCCCAGGCCAGGCCATCAGTAGGGAGCTGGATGGGAAGTGCAGCAGCCGAGACCCGAATCGTCATCCATGTGGGATTCTAGCAGTACAGGAGGATTAGCCTGCTACAGGAATGTACTCTATTGCTAATCTTAACAATTCTAACAGGGAAATGAAAATCAACTAAATAAACAGTACAACTATTAGAGCAGTTCAAAGATTACGCATAAAAGAAAGAATACAATTGCTGTAGAATTCAATAATCCGACTACTGTATGTGTGAAAGAGGTGTGATTAATATTTGAAGCAACATCTGTATTTCCATGTTTTTTTCAGGATTTATAATAACCAAAATAACAGATTCAGCCTTTATGTTCACCTATAGACAATGGCTGAAAAAAAATGTGTATATTCAGAAGGAAATACAAGGTACTTCACAAAGTCCATGGCGAAGTAGAGTTAAAAGATAAATATATTTTGCTTTACAGATTTAAGAAATTCTGGTTTTTTCATATATTTCCCTTGAACTTTTTAAAGATACGTCATATGCTTGGATTTCAAAATCACTTTGCACTGAAATTTTATAGTTACATTTTTCATGAACATTTTTAAGGGCTCTCATATCCTGTCATTTGCAACAACATGGGTGAGCCTGGAGAATATTTTAAGTGAAATAAGTTACAGAGAAAGGCAAATACCTTAGTCTTACTCAGGTCGATTCTAAGTTATTCTCACCGAAGTGGAGGATAGAATAGTGGTCAGCAGTGACTTGGGAAGACAACAAATAATAACACGTACCTAGAGGACACATCGATTAGATCAAGGCATGAAGTCTTAGAATAATTTCAACTAATGTGATGAATTGCCACCTTGTATAAATGGGAAGACTAAAAATACCTTAAAATTAATCTGCTTAGTAAGTCAGAAACTTGAAAGACTGATCTACAAAATAAAATTAGGACTCACCATATTTTATACTTATTAAAGCTGATACTAAAAACATGGTGAAAGAGAAGGAACCAGTATTAGCTTTGTGTTTGTTCATGGTTCACAGATCTTGGAATAGGATAAGAGTTCTGGGATCATTATATTGGATGCCTATAGTGTGAGTCTTTTCAGCAGTGAACCAGGATTCTTCTGGGCTGTTCTGCCACTACTTCACAGTACAGTCACTGAAGTTGTTCCCATCATGACTAATTACCTGAGTTAGGTGCATCAGCCTAATAAAGCAATTAAATGTCAAAGACCTGGGACTTGAAACTGTCAAAATTTGTTCTAAAGATTTATTTTCAGGGCTCAGGACTGTAGTCTTGCAGCTGAAGGCCTTGCATGCACCAGGATCCCATATGGGCACCGGTTTATATCCCAACTGCTCTACTTCCCTTCCAGCTGCCTACTTGTGGCCTAGAAAAGCAATTGAGGTTGACCCAAAGCCTTGAGACCCTGCAAGAAGCTCGTGGGTTCAGATCAGCTCAGCTCTGGCTTTGTGGCCACTTGGGGAGTGAACCAGCAGGTGGAAGATCTTTCTTTCCTTCTCTGTAAAATGTGACTTTCCTATAAGAATAAATCAGTCTCTCTCTCTCTCTCTCTCTCTCTCTCTCTCTCTCGACTTGCTTTCATTGGAAGGGCAGTTTTACAGGGAGGGAAAAATAGAAATATCTTCCATTTGCCGTTTGACTTCCCAAATAGTCACAACGGCTGGAACTGAGCAAATCTGAAGCTAGGAGCCAGGAGCATCTTCCTGGTCTTCCATATGGGTGCGGGGGTCCAGATGCTTTCAGCTGTCCTCTCCAGTTTTCCCAGACCTCAGGCAAGGAGCTGGAAGGGAAGTGAAACAAGCAGGATAAAACCAGTGCCCACAGTGTGTGCCAACACTTGGGGATGGAGGCTTAGCCACTAGAGCCAGTGAACTGCCCCCCAAACAGTGTTTTTAAGTGTTTATATGTGCATTATTTTCACTAAATTACCTCAGGATTTTAAATTTTTTAAATGTACATTTTCAAATAATAGTATCTTCTAGGAGACTCCCTTACAGTATTTGTAAGAAGGTGGAATTTAAAAAATTTAGGTTAAGCATTTAACACAATTAAGCCACCACTTGAGACACTCACGTCTAGCAGCTGCAGCTGGGTTCAAGTCCCACCTCCACTTGTGTTTGCCGCTCTCTGCCAGTGTACACTCTGAGACTTGAATTGGGTTCCAGGCTTACAGTTTCAACCTGAACCCAGTCTCAGTAGGGGCATTTTTGAAGTGAATTGGTGACTATAGGATCTTTTTTCTCTTTGTGTCTGTCAAGTAAAGTGAAAAAACGTTTTTAAAATTGTTGACCTGGCTTGTGAAGCATTGAGTTAATCTGCCTGTAATGTCAGTGCCCTGTAAGGGCACTGTTTGAAGACATGCTTGCCTGCATCTAATCCAGCTCACTGCTGACGTGCCAGGGAGAACAGCGAGTGGCCCCGTGCTTGCCCCCAGGCACACGGTCTGGCTGGGAGGTGAACACTCAATGAGAGATGTGTAGGTCTCTCTTTAATTCTTCCTGTCGATTGAATAAATCTTCTAAAAATAAGTAAAATGTTTAAAAATTTTTTTGAAGATAAATTTATTTCTTGGTAACAAATATTTTTAAATCCTTGGGCTTTTGAAGACCATTCATACACATGAATTTCAAAAATTTCTGCACTAAAACACATCTTTTCATTCCATTTTTCTACTGATAATTTAAAGAGCAGAAACAACTTTGATTTTAGCATAATATTGGTAGTTTTTATGTTATAGAAGCTATTTGAAAAGTAGAAAATTTCCATGTTCTAGATCATTACAAGTGAAATATAAGTATGGGATTGAATTAATATTTCTTAATGGAAGTGGGTAGCATGTGTTGCAGCTTGAGGTGTTAATTGGAGGTTTGCTGGTTTGTTTTCTTCCTCCTCTAGTGACGCTATTGCTGAGATTAGAGCCATTTGTATTGAAGAAATCGGAGTGTGGATGAAGATGTACAGTGATGCCTTCCTGAACGACAGTTATCTGAAATATGTTGGCTGGACTCTTCACGACAGGGTAGGTTGCTTTATTTTATGTTTTAATGAAAAGTACACTTTTCATGATGCTAACATGCTATGATCAAAAGGGCAACAACTAGCTTTTGAAAAGTTATAATGATACAGAAATTTGATTATTCAGCATTAATTAATTTAAGGTTATTGAAACATTGTCTGGAGACGTGGTTATTTAAGGGCGGTACTGTCCTAAATCCACAGTGTCAACTTTTTGCTTCTAAACTGTAAAGAGAGTACAAGCTGTATTCCCAGGAGGTAATAACAATTGAATGAAAGGATTTTTTTCTTAACACATAAAGACTCTAGAAGGGGTTGGTATTTGACAGAGCCCTGGAGATGCTGCTGAAGTGCCCACATCCCGTATCACAGTGTGTAGATTCTAGTTCCCTGTTCACACCAAACCTGCTCATACACGCCCTAGCTAGGCAGCAGATGATGACATGAGAAAGACCAGACTGAATTCTTGGCTCCTGGCTTCAGCCTGCCTCAAGCATGGGTGCTGTGAAAATTAGTAAATGAATCGGCACATGGAATCTCTGTCTCTTTGCCTTTCAAATAAAATGATAAGTTGGGATTAAGGGAACATTAAGCGTTCTTAATTTGAATTCTCACGGGTCATGTTGTAGTTTTGCCATGAGTTTGACAGGTGGTTAGGCTACCTGGGATTGTTTGATGTAAAATCTGTCTCCACCTGTAGTGACAATTCTTGAGATTGACTTTTAAAGGAGTCTGGCATGCTTGAATACTAAATGAGTAATTTTCAAAATAATCAAGGAGTAGAATTTCCTTTTAAACTGTAGGTCTTGTTATTCCCACCCAGTACTCCTTGTAGTTTTTTCTTCTCAAAATTGCTACAGTAATTTGCCCATTTTTTTTTTACTTGAAACTGACCTCAGACCCATGTTACATCTGTTTAGAATGAGATGAAAGAATTTCCGTCTTGATTAAAATTTTAGAGTTTGTAATCTAGTCCTTTCTCCTTGATAAGCAAAACTGCAAAACCGATGTGGGTGTATATGTGTAGGGTAGTGTACACTTCACTCTAAGAAAACAGTTTGTCAAAACAAAATTAATATTTACATTTTCCAACCACTAGTTTTATTTGTGTTTGATAAGAACATGACCAGTTCAGACCTAGCAATTGCAGTGTATCTGCTCTGGGCTAAGCATCTTAATGTCTTTCTGGAATTATACTCATGACAGCAGATTGCCTTGTTTTAGGCATAGTGGTTTTCCAGTAATACTCTGTACCACTTTTGCTTTTACCTTATATCTTAGTTTATTTTCTGTGGCTAAAACAGAATACTTGAGGCTAATTTGTTTTAAAAAAAGGTGGGGGATGGGAAGGAAGGAAGAAAGAAAATGTACTTTGGCTCCACCTCTGGAGGCCAAAGTACATGTCCTTGGCATCTGCTTGGTTTCTGGTGAAAACTTCATGAAGGAAGTGTAAGGAGTTTCTGTGGAAAGTGGAAGGGGAGTGGGGAATAATTCAAGTAATGGCTAACATATTTCTTGAAACCATTTGTCCAACACCCTTGTTTTGTTTTGTTTTGTTTTGTTTTGTTTTGTTTTGTTTTGTTACTAATCATAAGCTTTGGTAGAAATAGCCCCCATCTACACACAGCTCTTACACACACAGCTCTTACACACACAGCTCTCCTGCTTTCTGACATGTGCTTCATCCACAGCATCAGTCGTCTGAATTGGGTTCAGTGAACTTGCATTGTATCCTCTTCTTTGTGTTGCTTCCTCTCATGGAGTTCATCAGAAAACTTGAAGCCCTAGACAGTGCTGTGCTGTTCTTTCAACTCCGTGCACTCCAACCACATACAGGCACATCTGTTTAATGATTAGTCCCCTGAATTTGGTTCATTTCAGGTCTTCTGAGTATTACCTTTTAAACATTCGTAGCGCACATGCACATTTTACTTTGGAAGCATAAATTAGTTTCTCTTAAAAACAAAATAGTGGGGATTGTGGCACGAAAGGCTAAGCCTCTGCCTGGAACACTTACCATCTCATGTCAGAGTGCCAGTCGAAGTCATGCCGTTCTGTTGTCAGCCCACCGCCCTGCTGCTGCTCCTGGGCAAGCAGGAGCTGAGGGCCAAATTGTGCGTGTGCTGAGATGGAGCTCCTGACTCCTGACATATTATCTCTCTTGGGCCCGGTGTGCTAGCCTTGTGGCTGAAGTCCTTGCCTTCAGTTTGCCGGGATCCCATATGGGCTCCAGTTCTAATCCTGGCGGCCCCGCTTCCCATCCAGCTCCCTGCCTGTGGCCTGGGAAAGCAGTCGAGGGCGGCCCAAAGCCTTGGTACGCTGCACTTACAAAGTCTTCACTGTATCATCTTCTTTCTGTTTTAAACACCTTCCTGCTTTTCTGTTTTTCCTGACTGCCTGGTGGGATGTAAAAGAGAATAGTAGATATTTGTTGTATGAATAAATGATGTTACTTTAAACCACCTGGTCTCATATTTTCAATTTTGTGGGTTTTTTTTTTTTAAGATTTACTTTTGTATTTGAAAGACATCTCTCACAGAGCTTGTGTCTGCTACTTTTCTCTGAAATGGCTGCAACAGTCAGAACTGGACCATAGAAAGTCAGAAAGCAGGAGTTTCATTGGATTTCTCACATGGGTGCAGGAGCCCAGTTAGGCTGTCTCATACTGTTTTCCAAGGTGTGTCGTTTGGGAGATGTATCAGAAATGGAACATCTGGGACTTGAACCAGTTCCCAAATGGGATGTCAGCGTTGTAGGCAGAAGCTTAACATGGTTCACCATCATGCCAGCTCTTCAATTTCATGAAAATTGTAATAGCATTTATTTGTAAGTGCCATAAGTGATAGATTTATTGCTCAATTTAAGTCTTTATAGGTGTCCTATACATACTACAATATAGAGTTAATATAGGGATGGAAAGCGTTAATACAAAATTAGATTTGTCCAGAGGCTTATTTTAGTAATTTCATAAAGGACAAATGAGAGTAGCCATTTGTAAGTATAATTATAAGTTAAAAATCCTACAGTTGGATTTCAGAATTGATCTGCTAATCAGGTAACGGGTCCACTGTGAGTTAGGTATGAGTGCAGCAGTGTGCGTTTGTTGTCTTACTCTGTATGGAATTACAATATGAAGTAATTGGAATGATTGAGTGGATTTTAGTCTAGGGAGAAACTTGAAAAGCTTTTTAATATTTGTAACATGGAATTGATGGCTTCATTGTGCTGTATTGTTTTTCTGTAGCAAGGGGAAGTCAGGCTCAAGTGCTTGAAAGCTCTCCAGAGTCTGTACACCAACAGAGAGTTATTCCCCAAATTGGAACTGTTCACCAACCGATTCAAGGTAAGCATTAGAAACGATGAAGCTTTTGATACCACAGGTGTTAGTTGTAACTAGTTTAGCAAATGGCATTATCATACCAAGCATTTGTTTTATATGCTTTAGGGCATAACTCTTTAATTCTATATTAAATGGATGGATAACTGTTTTCACCAACCTTTGAAAGAAGGCTATCCTGCCAAAAATAAAACTTTCTTTATGTCTTTATGAACAGATTCTCCAAGTGAAGGTATAATTGTCGTAGTGCTAGTAAATGAAATTTTTAACAGTAAATACACCAGGAAACTGTCTTTGGGTGACTGGAGACTTCACTATGGCTTCAAGTCTGAAGCAGTTTTATCTGTCCCTGACATTGTACATACACCCCTAGAATATTGAGGAGACTTCAAAACTTGTACAAAAGTAGAGTCAAAATATATTTACTCTTGTGTAAAAATAGGATATTCGTGCATAGCTTTATTGTAATACTCATTTTCCATGAACATTTTAGGATCCCTATATATTACCTTAAGTTTTTTCCTGACTCCTGTTTGTGTTTGGTTTATTGCACTTTTTTTTTTTTAGGATCGCATTGTATCAATGACACTTGATAAAGAATATGATGTTGCTGTGGAAGCTATTCGATTGGTTACTCTGATACTTCAGTAAGTATAGTATCAGTTAATACTTTATCTAAGATTAAAGCACACTTGCATTTCTGGATTAAATCCTGTTTGACATGATAAATTTTGTTTTGTTGATCTATTTTTTGTTCATCAATGCAGTCTTATATTTAAATCTTCATTAAGATTTTCGATGCGTCAAGAATAAATTTGACATATATTTCCACCCACTCTAGGTCAACTTGTAAAACACCTTGGTAAAACATTTTCCTGTTCTGAAATAAATTGTGCGTTACTGAGATCAATTCCTCCTTGAAATTTAAAGAGTTTCACTAGTTGCATGTGATTTTTTTATTTCTTTTCTAGAAAGAGGTTTTTCTGGGTTTTTTCTCTTGTATTTCTTTAAAATATTTTGTCATGCGGCAGTTGTACACTGTACATACAATATTTTGAAATGACAATGTACAATGTCATTTTTAAAATGCATATGTATAAAGTGTAATGATCACATAAGAATAAGTGATATGGTTTATCATAGACACTTGTTAAATTGAAATTTCTATTATTTTTTGAAATATTCAATTATCAACTGTAGCTATCCTACTAAATTATAGAATATTCAAAGGTTTTTCTGCCCTCCAACAATCCTCCTCCGTACCCATAAAAATCTTTTAATTTTTTCAGTATCTGCCCCAACCCTATACCATTCTGAAGCTCTGGTAGCCACTTTTATTCTTACTTCTGTGAGATCAGTTTTTTTAGCTGCCACATATAACTGACAATGTACAGGTTGTGTGTTTTCTCAGGCTTATGTCTATTAGCATAATGTCCAGCTATTCTGTTCATGTTACTGTAAATAACAATTTTTTTCTTATGGTTGAATAATATTTCATTGGGTGTGGAAAGGTACTTGAAAAGGTTTGTGATGGGGTGGTTCATGTGGCACAGAGTTAGGGCACTGTCTAGGTTGTCTGCATCCTATGCCACAGTGCCTTGGATTGACTCTGACCTCCACTTTTGGTCCTGCTTCTCCTGATGGCCCAAAAACAGAGGATGATGGCTTGGGTTCTTACTTTCCTGCTAGCTGAGTGGGCCTGCAGCTTCATCCTCAACGCAGCATTTGGGGAGAAAACCATCCTCTTGCTTTCTCTCCCTTCCCTCAAAATCCCCCATTAGTCTCTCAGGTAAGATAAAAGTTATGCAGAATTGAATAAGTGTTTATTTTAGAACACTGTATTTTGAAATTGAATTATAGTGTCTTCAATAACTTTTCTACATAAATTTTGAAGGTCCTTCCTATAATTTCACAAAACTTTTATTCCGTTTTTTTGTGAAATTTCTGCAAGTACCCTTATGTATTAAGAGTCATTGTGAATATATGTGGCTAGAAGACTGAACAGTCTCTCTGTACATTTTCTGAATTTTACATACTAATTAATTGTCTCAGAGTTATAAGGAAGTATTCCTTTTGGAGTAAGGTAAAACAATCAAAATCAATATACAGTGAGCTTTCATAATATTCAAAATGTAAGTAAAGGTAAAACTGAGGATAAATATTTATTTTATGATGTTCCTTATTTTAGTGGCAGTGAAGAAGCCCTTTCTAATGAGGACTGCGAAAATGTTTACCACTTGGTGTACTCAGCACATCGCCCTGTCGCAGTGGCAGCCGGAGAGTTCCTTCACAAAAAGTGAGCTCGTCGTCTTTGAAGACAAGTCCTGCTTTTTGTGTTTTGTTTGGTTGTTTACAGAAGACTCAGACTGTCCCTTTTCAATTCCAGGGTCTATAGTACCTTGTAGCCTCGGTACACATTAGGAACTGTGTCACTTAAAATGATGTTCCCTAAAGCATGCTCCTTTTCTTTGAAATCTGAAAGGATGGGTCCCACTTAGGAGCATGAAGTAGAAATTGCCAAAGTACATGATCTATCCATAAGCTCCCTAGATAATTAATATACTGTGCTCTCCTCTCCCCTCCCTTTAAGATTCTGAGTTCAGGGATCCAGCCTTTGCACTGTTCTTAAGACTCCTCTGTGAACTCCCTACTTCCTGTCAGAGTTCCTGGGTCAGGCCCGGCTCTGTTTCCAGTCTGGCTTCTGATGCGCATCCCGTGGGGCAGCGGGCGTGGCTCGAAGGCTTGAGTCTCTGCTGTGCACATGGATGCCTGGCGTGAGGTCCAGATCACCGAATCTGGCCTGACTCAGGGCATTGCAGCCGCTGGGGAAGAATCTGTGCATAGACGTTCTGTCTTTCTGCCGTTCAAATTAAACCAAAATAAATGTTTAATTATTAAAAAAAAAATCTGAGTTGTTACCTTCTCAACACTTGTAGTCTAAATGTTCAGAATACCTCCCAAATTTGTGTGATTTCTTTTTCCTCTTCTGTTCACTGGGATAAAGATTATTTTAATCAGTTATTCTTAGTAATATATGTGCAGTTGCAGCTTAGCTTTAAAAAATTACCCTCACTTATAGGAAAAATACAGAACTAATGAGTCTGTAAAATGTGAACAGTTCTGTGAAGCAAATTTTGGGTCAGGATTTATTACTGTATATGTTCTATCATTTTTAGTAGATTAATTTATTCTTAAAGTATTCTTATCTGCATGTGGCTTGTTTTGTATTTTGTGTTTTAGTCCGTCATGTACTGATTTAGGAGTATGCTGAAGCATACATTTCAGTCGTGCCCTCAACAGCTGTTCTGTGGGAGGATGAACTTTGACTCTGACAAGCCTGGGCCTCCCTGCAGTGTCTGCATCAGTGCGGCATGCTCGCTGTGGGGCCTCTCCCAGCGGGAAGAGTTGCTCCTGTGTGGAAAATCTTGATGGCTGGTCATTGTGGTAGAGAGAGCAAAGAGGGCAAAAATGAAAGATTTCAGCAGGAATTTCATACTGGCATATTGAATTTGCCAGTGCCTTTGGTATTGGTGGCTTGCAGAATAATCTTATCTCCTTATTTATCATGAGATATTGTTTGCACAGACATAAAGGATGTACTTCAGACTTAAATTCCTTTTATAAGAATTACTTTTTAATGTCTACATAAGTTTTCCAAAAGTTGTCTTTCAGAAAGTAAAAGAAATGTGAAGTAAAGAGGTCATCCTGTGTGGACTGCAGACCGTAAACTAGAGTGTTGAGTTGGAGCTCCTTATCTGCCTTGTGTTTTCCTTTTAAAAAAGAAATAGGCACAGGGAGATGTTCCCTCTCCTGACTTCCCCAATTACCTGCAATTGCCAGAACCTTCCATCTGGGTTTTCCATCTGGGAGCCAAGTACCCAGTACTTGAGCTATTACTTATTTCCAATAAGTAGATCCAGGGTGCGAAACCAGACGTCTGATAAGAAGGATGCAGGCATCCCCAACGGCAGGCTCAGTGCTGTACCAGAGACTCATCATGTTGTATTTTTCCAAGTTTGTGATATTTACTAGACTTTTTTTTTTTTAATCAGTATGTTACATAAAATGCAGAAAAGTAAATCTCTGAAAATCATTTACTTCTTGGGCAAATAAAGCTTCACTGTGTTACGCACATTTTAGGCCGTTGCTCTGTAGAAATTCATGATTTGTTCTTTTAGATTTTTTAATGAACTCTTTTTGTTTTTGATTTTTATCCACTTGAGGAAGGAAGGGAGAGGGAGGGCGCATGCTGCCATCCTCTGGGTCACTCACAGATGCTGGACCTGCCAGGACTTGAGCTGAAGCAGACAGGCCTGGCCAGCACACTCACTGGAGCATTGGGGAGTGGAGCAGCAAATGGGAGGTCTCTCCCTTTCTGTCTCTTTTCCCCTTTGTGTTCTGTTCAGACAAGTGAAAGTGTGTGATGTTTTAATTAAAAAGGAAAAGTTATGCAGAGTGGACATTTAACGGAATTTCTAAGCCATCACGTAGGCATGTTTTCCATCCTGATAGAACGTCTCGAGTTTGAGTCCAAGCTCCACTTACGCTTCCAGGCTCCTGCCTTCCTTCTGGCCCAGCCTTGGGTGGTTCAGGCATTTGAGGAGAGAACCATCCTATGGAACATCTCTGCCATTAAACTTTTAAATATGAATTTTCATCATTATTGCTTGCAAATTTGGAAAATGCTACAGTTACATTATTATAGTTATAAATTGTAGTTGTAAATCTATATTTAAGGCAAAAGAAATCAGTTGATAATTACCTACTCTGTCCATGCAGAATAATAACAGCATTTGGACATTGCTTAGCACATCAGTAAGAATTTTATTTTTCTGGTCTGGAAAGTCGTCAGTTCCCTGTTTGTATTGAAATAGATGATCTGACCTGATCCTGTTGCTTCTCTCTTCTTAATCCATGTATGAAGTGAAGGAAGAAAATCTGTATCCGTGTGCATTTGTAATCTTCTGGTTTTATTTGTATAGATTGTTTAGCAGACATGATCCACAAGCTGAAGAAGCATTAGCAAAAAGAAGGGGAAGGAACAGTCCGAATGGGAACCTCATAAGGATGCTCGTTCTGTTCTTTCTGGAAAGTGAGGTAAGCAATGCTGGGTGTTACTTACTTTGTTTCATGTTGCATAGTAAGTAAAAACTGTCATTTGATTCATTAAGCTTTTAATCATATGATGACAAATCCATTTTTATGAGTGTCTTCCATGAGTTGCTTGCTTATGGAATTAGTACTCTCTCTTGTGTTGGGAAAGCTTCTGAAACGCGTGTGGGTGTGGATCGACTCTTGTTCTCCTATAATACTGAATACTGTGCTTTTGCTTGTTTTTCTTTAATTTTTCCCTATGGCCTTTAAATCATATTGTTTAAACAGTTTATTAAAAGTTGTCAGACTGTTATAACAATCATATTTTAAACTGATTATTTAATAAGGATACTGAAAACTATGAATTCACATTTAGTTTATCGTACACGTCTTGTAAGTTATCATTTAAACAGTTTTAGAATTAAAACTCGTAATGTTGTATCTACAAAGATCTATTCTCACAGTTGAGCATTTTGAGCTGCTTGCTTAGTTGGTACTTTGTATTTCCTTCTGAGCTGAACCTAAAAAACTTGTGATTGAATGAACTGGTTGGTTTAGGAAGAGAGTAAAAATGTGGCCAGCACTGTTGTGTGGTGGGTTGAGCCACTGCTTATACTGCCAACATTCCATGGGGGTGCCAGTTCCAATCCCAGCTGCTTCACTTTTGTTCCAGCTTTGTGCTAATGTACCTGGGAAAGCAGTGGAAGATGGCCTAAGTTTTTTTCTGCACATACGTGGAAAACCCAGAAGATACTCTGGGCTCTCGGCTTTGGCCTGGTGCACTTGCAGCCATTTGGGAAGCAGAGAACGCTCTCTCCTCATTCCTTTGTCTCTCCTTCACTCTTTGTATAGATCCGCTTTTCAAATGAATGAATCTTTTTAAATAACTACTGAAAACAGATTTAGGAAACCAGTAAAGAACTAAAATCTAGGATTCTTAATTTTGTTTGGAAAAAAATTTTTTTGTACTGGAGTATCTGGGAAGAAGAGAAATTTAAGAGTTTTGGGGTAGGAGAACAGATAGAGCTGTTACCAGTGATGCCAACATTCCATGTGGTGCCAGTTCATGCTTGCCTGGCCGCTGATCCTCCTCCCTGCTAAGGGCCTGGGAAAAGCAGTGAGGTGACTCTCATATTTGGATTCCTGTGTGCACATGAGAAACCCCGATGAAATTCCAAGTTTCTGGCTTTGGCCTGGCCCAGCCCTGGCTATTGGAACCATCTAGGATATAAACTAGGGAATGAACTATATGTCTCTCCTTTTCTGTGTAACTATGGGTTTAAAATTTAAAAAAAAAAAAAAACAGAAAAAGATTCTTACTCAATTTTGAAAGTGCTAGAGGACCTCTGTAGGAGTCAGGAAGAAGGTCAAAGCAACTGTATGACAAGTGGGCCTGAACACGTGCTAGACTTCAGGATAAAGCAAGAAAAAGTGAAGAAGTTGCTGATGTTTTCTTCGTTGGGGAATCAAACAGTAAAGTGAAAACCAACTGGAGAGTTGAATTTGAATAGTAAAATTGTGTGTAAGCATAATGTTTTAAATGTGCATGCAAATCACTGGGGATTCCTATTAAAATGCCAGCGTTGATTTAGTGACATTTGAATGTGACCTTAGAGTCTGTATTTCTACAGTGTTCTGGGATGAAGTTTATTCTTCAACGCCAAATAGAATTTTGCTTACAGAGCAGTTGTGGCTATATTACACAATAAAATACAGTATGTGAATTTTAAAAAATAAAACCCTAAATATCAAATAACTATCATACTGATGGTAGGCCATTCAAATTATTTGAAGTGTCCTCTAGGTTTGGGAGGAATAATATGGTTCAGTTAGTATGCAGGGAACGTTTGGTTCAGCAGTTGTCACTGCTTGGGGCAGGCCACCCTCACAGCAGTGCCTAGGTCTAATCCAGCCAGCTTCCAGCTAAAGCAGATTCTGGGAGGCGGCACAGCTGAAGAACTCAGGTACCTTTCGCTTGTTAAAAGTCCAGGTGGAGTTTCAGGGTCCTGTCGTCTGCCTGGCCTATTGAACTATTGTGTGAAAAGAAGTCCCATGTTAAAGGTGACTCTAAAGGCACAACAGTTTCAAATGGTTTAGGAATGAAATATGCAAATATTATATATTGTTAAAAATTTAGGACATATGATCTTGACTAGTTGAATTTTTTTCATTAATTAAATGAGTTTTTTTTATTTCTGAAAGTTGATGGACTTTGTTAAGAGGTATAACCTTAATTTTATGTGGATTTTAGTTTAAAGCAATACTCTGTTTTTAGTATTCTGAGATATTACTACTGTATTCCTGTGTTTACTTAAGTATTCCTGGTGTAAGATATATTTGATTCTGTTATGACATTCTTATTAGCACCAAAAGCAACTACAAATCATATGTTAAGAGTTTCAAGTTGATTCATAGTGGTGGTTATATTGGTCTTTATGCTGTGCGCTGCTTCACCAAAAACATCCTTTGTGAAAATCTTTTCTTCCCACCCTCAAAGAACTTGTTATTATTTCTAACTGGTTCATGAAAGTTGTGTTTACAGAGTACCATAAAAATGTTTTAAAGCATATATACATTGTGCAAAGTTTAAATCTATTATCTCAAACATTTATTGTCTCTTTGTAGTAGAAATAGTCAAAATTCTCACAGCTTTCTAAGAAAAGCGTACATTGTTATCTATAGTCAATCTACTGTGCCGTAGCCTGTGTTTTCTCCTCTGTGCTGTAATTCATACCCATTCATCAACTTGCTCTATTCACACTTACTGTTTGCCTCAACTTCTGGTCACTACCATTATGCTTTCAACTTACACGTATCAACTTTTTAAAATTCTACATATGAACAAGTTCATACAGTTCTTTTCTTTGTCTGGGTTATTTCATTTAACTTTATAAACTGTAGTTCCATTGGTATAGTTGCTAATGACAGGATTTCATTCTTTTATGGAGGAATAATATTTCAAGTGTTTTATAATTATCCACAAAATCTTTCGGTGTTACACATGCATACACATGGAGCTGAATGTGAATTGAAGTCATATTCATTTTTTTGTAAGATTTATTTATTTTTATTTGAAAGAAAGATTTATAGGGAGGAGAGAGAGATCTTCCACGGACTGGTTGGTTCACTCACCACATGGCCACATGGCCAGAGCTGAGCTGACCTGAGACCAGGAGTTTGGAGCTTCCTCTGGTCTTCCTTGTGAGCACAGGGCCACAAGAACTTGAGCCACCTTGTGCTGCTTTCCCAGCCCGTGAGTGGAAGCTGAATCAGAAGTGGAGCAGCCAGGACAGGAACTGGTGCCCTTGTGTGATGCTGGCTTACCATGCCACCACCCAGATTGATTTTATTTTAAATGATGAATGTATTTCTTTGAATGATACCCTATCAGGGAGAGGCAGAGTTAACAGAGGGTAAAGGAGAGTCAGCTGTCTTCCACTCTTAGGCTCACTCCCTAGGTGGCCACAGCGGCCTGCACAGGCGGAAACCAGGAGGGAACTCTGTTGAGGTCTTCTGTGTTACTAGCAGGGGGCATTTGGAATGCTGGCATTGCAGGGTGTGGCTTAACCCCTGCACCACAGCACCATCCTGTGGAATCATACTCTGAGAGTGCGGTGAAGTTCTGATTGTATCTTAACCTGACCTCTCCCTCGCTTTATTGTAACAAGTTATTGAGTGAAATTTTACTAATGCATGAAACGTTAAATTTAAAAAACCCTTTAGGTATCATATTTGAAATGAGTTTGTGTTACAAATAAGTTGATAGACCACTGACTGGGATTAATTTCATTGTTGTTTTACTGAAATTTAAAATAGTAATGTATTCATATAATTATAAGATATTAAATTGAAGGAGATTAATAGTTCAAATAAAATAATGGAAATTACTAAATTTGTGTAAAATAGTTACCAGTTTATATTTCGCTGTCAAGTGTTTTTAGGTTATCACAATCTTTATGATAGTCATTAATTTAAAGCAGCAAAATACCTTGTATTTTAGATGCTTGCCAAATAGCAACATACTGGTACTTGAATGTCATTAGTCCAAATGTCACCATAATTTATTGCACAAACTATGATGCTTTCCAGAAGACATCGAAACCATTCGTCTGAAGCAGAAATACTCAGCCAGAATGTTCCTGGTCAGTGTGGAATTAAAATCATTTTCCTCGTAGCAATATGGAATGAAGAGGAATCATGATACTGATTTAATGCAAAAAATTGACAGATTTATCAAATTTTCTCCAGATGTTCAGCTGTATACCATGATTGATAACTTACAATTTTTGCTTGCTTTTTTTCTAAAATGTTGTTCAGCAGTCACCACTGACTGGCTGTGTTTCAGCAGGAGTAAAGACTTGGTGTGAATGTGTTTAGGAATCTTCATTTCTTGGAAAGATTTGCATGAAATGATTTTTTTTCTTTAAAGACGTCACTTTGAAACACCATTGATTTGTGAACTCCTTTGTTTAAAGTGTCTGCAAGAAACTGGAAGGCAGGGAAAATGAAAAACAAAATACTTAGGAGTGGGGCTATGGCAGCATTATCATGCTGCTCTGCCTGCAACACCAGCATCCCAGAGGGTGCTGGTTCAAGTCCCAGCTGCTCCATTTTCAAACCAGTTCTCTGCGTATGGCCTGGGAAAGCAGTGGAGAATGGCTCAGGTCCTTTTCTACCCACGTTGGAGATCTGGAAAGCAGCTCCTGGCTCCTGCCTTCAGATGGACTCAGCTCCAGCCTTTGCAGCTATTTGGGTTGTAAACCAGCTAATGAAAGACCTGTCTCTCCTCCTGTCTTTAAAAATCTGCCTTTCAAATAAGAATAAATAAATCTCTAAAGAGATATTTAGGAATTACTTTGAACCCAATAAAGGTGAATCATAAATAGAAAGGTATAATTAAGTCACTAGGAAAATAAGATTACTTTGTTTTAATAAAAGCTTCGAGAAATGCGTCCAAGTCCTAGAAGGATTAAAGCTACTGCCTGTAGGTTATTCTCCAGGGTTTAATGATTGGCAAGTGATGTAGAATTTAATGTGAATTGTCTGACAATAAATGTGCTTGTTTACTGTGAGAGCATGGATTCCAAACAGTATGTTCAAGCGTAATGACCAACAGAAGATCTGAATAAAGGTGGGAATTTGGCCTAGCAATCACGATGCAAATATCCCACATTAGAATGCCTGGCTTTGATTACTTATTCTAGTTCCTGACTCCAGATTCTTGCTGATGCAGACTTTCGGAGACAGCGATGTCTCAAATTAAGCAAATTAGAATGGCACAGAAATGCACTGAATCAAATGGAAATAAGTATAGGAAAGAGGGAAGGTGGAGTCATTTATGCTTCTGACCCTAAAGCAAGGAAAAGCTTGTGAAGTAAGAAAGGAGGGGTAGCATAGCTGGCTGAGCTTCCGGCTGTACCACCAGCATCCCGTGTGGGTGCCTGCTCATGTACTGTCTGCCCCACTTGTGATCTAGTTTCTTGCTAATAACCTTAGAAAAGCAACAGAAGATGGCCCAGGTTTTTGGGTGCCTACCACCTTTGTGGGCGACCTAAATGAAGCTGATGGTTTCAAAAGCTGACCCTCGCCGGTTCTAATCCCGGCAGCCCCGCTTCCCTTCCAGCTCCCTGCCTATGGCCTGGGAGAGCAGTCGAGGACGGCCCAAAGCTTTGGGAACCTGCACCCACGTGGGAGACCCAGAAGAGGCTCCTGGCTTCGGATCTGCATAGTATTGGCCCGTTGCGCTCACTTGGGGAGTGAATCATCGGACGGAAGATCTTCCTCCCTGTCTCTCCTCTCTGTATATCCGCCTTTCCAATGAAAAAATAATAAAAATAAATCTTTAAAAAAAAAAAAAGCTGACCCAGCCCTAGCTGCTACAGCCAACTGGGCAGCAAACCAGCAGGCAGAAGACTTATCTCTATCTTTCCCTCTCTGTAACTCTGACTTTCAAATAAATAAATAAACTTTTAAAAAAGAGTAGTGACTCATTTTCTTGACAAGAAAAGCGAAAGAATAGTAACAACCAGACAACTGTGAGTAGTGAAAAGTGACTTACATGGAGCTTGTAATTTCAGAAATTCTGCTAACTATTTTTTTGTTTTCACACCTGCAAATGATGTTGAACTGGGAAATCCCTAGTGTTAACTACTGAAAATGTTTTTTTTAAATAATTTTTACATACTGTATCTACATTATTAACAATGGACTATAAATATGCATTATTTTCTAGATGGTTCTTCAAGTCATCCAGACCACACCATTTTCAGCTATAAAGAAAATGGTTCATTAACTGAAAATATTTCAAGTTTATTTCTTAAATGCCATTTAGTCACACTTGATTTGTTAATTTTAGTTACATGAGCATGCGGCCTACTTGGTGGACAGCTTGTGGGAGAGCTCTCAAGAATTGTTGAAAGACTGGGAGTGTATGACGGAGTTGCTGTTAGAGGAACCTGTTCAAGGAGAGGAAGGTACAGTATTTCTATGTGTTTAATATATTGTTTCCAATGCTAATGTGCCATAGTATATATCGTAATTTCTTTGTTGTAATAAGCCAGAAGCCAGGTTGAACCACATTGGCAGGTTAAGCCACACTTAGTGCTGACCTCCTACATCCGGGCATCCTTTCTGATCCCTGCTGCGCTTCAGTCCAGCTTCCTGCTGCTCTGCCTGAGAAAGTCCTTGTGCCCATGCACCCATATGGGAGACCTAGTTGGAATTCCCGGCTCTTGGGCCTCGGCCTGACCTAGCCCCTTTGTTGCAGTCAGAGAATAAACCAGCTGATTGAAGATGTGTTTTTCTTTCTTTCCCTCTGCGATTCTGCCTTTAAATAAGTTAGTGAAGAGAAGATGGCCCTTTCTGCTGCCGAACTGAGGGGCCTTACTGACTGGATTAAACACCAGCTGCACTCTGGGTTCGTTTCACTTTGTGACCATGGGATTATAAAAGTACATTTTGAATTTTTTACTCTTAAATTACTCATAGTGGCACTAAGTTCAGCAACCCCATGAATTCTAACTATTCTCATTATCTTATGATTTCCTGGTTAAATCAGTTCCTCTTTTATGCACTGCTACCTGATCAATATGTGAGCAAAGGGTTATATTCCACTATTTTTCTTCTCTTGTTTATGGCACCAAATTAGTAAATTACTAAAGATGGTTTGAACTCACTATTTCTGATTTCCAGGTCGTGTGTGTGTGTGTGTGTGTGTGTTATGCTCTGTAAGGTTATTTCCTGGAAGGGTGGCAGAAGACGCCCCGTATCCTTTGTTATTGTTAGCTTTTCATTGTTATGTAAATCTTACGTAAGCCAATAAATGACAAACTTTGAATCAACAAGGTAATTTCAGTGCATTTACTCGTAATATGTACATAGTTGTCGATATTCTATGAGGTGATCTGTGGTTTAAATTCAGTTGACATTGGGTTTCCTTGACCTGGACTGTAGAGATTGGACCTGATTGGATGTGGTTTTAGCTAGCAAAATAATGAGATGGGAACATTAGAATCTCTGAAAATGTTGCCACTAACTTATTTAAAAACTAGCTAGAAGTTAAACTATGCTTTACATAGATGAAGTATTGTAAAATACTAATGAAGAAAAGTCAAGTTAAACACCTGAGCTATAGGACTAAAATTTGAGAAAATGTACCTTGTTAAATACTCCCAAAATCAACTTAGATCACAATACCTTAAAATTATCTTACAGTATTTTCCTGAAACCATTCTGTGTCTGTTTGGGTGTGTACATTCTCAAAATAATTTTGTTACTGGATTAAGTTTTATGTGGCCTGAGTTTTTGTTTATACTGTGCCATTAGATCAATACAGCCAAGTTGAAACTTCTCTGGGTCTCAGTTTCTTCAATATAAACGGAGCAACTGTAAATAAATAATTTTCTTTGGCGATTTCTGATGCTAACATTCTGCAATTCAGCTGATGGATAAAGTAAATATGAATAAATTATTCAAAACAAAAATAATTACTGATTCATCATCTTAAAATTTGGTGGGATCTGGGTCATTGCCAGCAGGCTCAGCTGCTGCTGTTTTGCCAACATCTGCTATGGCTTGAGTTTGATTCCTTCCTTTTTCACTTTGAATCCAGCTCCCTTTTAATGCACCTACAAAAGCAGAGGAAGTTGGCCGAGAGCTTGGGTATCTGCATTCAGGGTGAGACCTAGAAGTAGCTTCTGTCAGCACCCTAGCCCACTTCCAGCAATTGTAATCATTTAGGGAGTAAACTGGTAAATGGAAGATTCATTTTCTCTCTTTCTCACTCTTTCTCATTCTGCCTCCCAAATAAATCAATATCTAAAAAGAAAAAATTAAGTACTGGCTGATGTTGTGCCACAGTGAGGTTAAACCACTTCTTTGGACCCCAGTCTCCTTTGTCAGTGTGTCAGTTCAAGTCCCAGCTACTAATGTGCCTTGGAACGCAGTGGTAAATGCCCTATTATGTGGGCCCATGCCACCAGTGTTGGAGACCCTGGCGAAATACCTAGATATCCCTTTGTCACTTGTCAAATAAGTAAATAAATAATTATAAGGTTTGTTGGTGACCTTATAAGTCTAAACATTATGTTAAATGCTGTAGAAACAGTATTGGACCAAGTCAGCTCACTTGAGAAAAAGCCACATGTGAAAAGTTGGAAATTCTGTAGTTATACAGATTTGGTTGTCACTAGAGGAAAGCTTTTTGATATTATTAGGTGTTAGATTGTGTAGGTTTCTTCCAAAATAAGTGGTAATTCATGTTTTCTCTAAGTTAAAATGACTGAATTAAGATGTATATAACACATTGTACAGAATTAATTTGGGCAGACAGTAAAGTACAGCATATCATAATGCCTTTGTTTAGCTTTTCATTGCTTTTGTCTGTTTTTAAATAATTAAAATGACTAAAATATCTAGTGAGTGAAAGTAAAGAATTCAGAGATAGTTCATTCCAGGTGTAGGAGATTGAATATGAAAAGCTAAAACTTTTAAATGACTAATTCAACAGGGAAGTCTGGTTTATTTAATGCTGATTAGAAGCATAATTGTGAATATGGTAGGAATAATTAGGCCTGTACATACTACTAATTGGCATAAATAAAGGCCAAACATACTAACATTTTTAGATTTATTATCATTTGCTTCTTCATTTTACCATTTATTTATTTTTATTGGAAAGCAGATATACAGAGAAAAGGAGATACAGAGAGAAAGATCTTCTATCTGCTAGTTCACTTCCCAGCTGGCTACAATGACAGGGTCCCAAGGCTTTGGGCTGTCCTCCTCTGCTTTCCCAGGCCACAGCAGGGAGCTGGATGGGAAGTGGAGCAGCTGGGATTAGAAGTGGCACCCACAGGGCCCGGCGCGGTGGCGCAAGTGGTTAAAGGTCCTCGCCTTGCACGCCCGGGATCCCATATGGGCGCCGGTTCTAATCCCGGCAGCCCCGCTTCCCTTCCAGCTCCCTGCTTGTGGCCTGGGAAAGCAGTCGAGGACGGCCCAAGGCTTTGGGAACCTGCACCCGCGTGGGAGACCCGGAAGAGGCTCCTGGCTTCGGATCGGCGTAGTATCGACCCGTTGCGCTCACTTGGGGAGTGAATCATCGGATGGAAGATCTTCCTCTCTGTCTCTCCTCTCTGTATATCCGCCTTTCCAATAACAAAATAATAAAAATAAATCTTTAAAAAAAAAAAGAAGTGGCACCCACAGGGGATCCCAGAGAGTGCAAGGTGAAGACTTTAGCTACTGTGCCAGGCTCTGTTTATTTTTGTTTTAAAGGTAATTTTTTTTTTAATGAGATGAGGAAATACAGAGTGATCTTTAATCCACTGGTTCATTCCCTAAATGACCAAATGAGCCAGAGATGAGCTGAACTAAAGCTAATAGCCAGGAGTTTCTAGTAGTTTTTTCTGGGTCTCCTACATGGGGATAGGGGCCCAAGACCTTGAGCCATCCTCTGCTACTTTCCCTGGCTGTAGGCAGATAGCTGCATCAGAAGTGGAGCAGCTCAGACATGAACAGGTCCCCCTATAGAATGTGCTTGCAGGCAGAGAATTAGCCTACTACACCGCTGTGCTGGCCCCCAGACAGTGTAAAGGTTAAAGGTTGGAGAGTAAGAGGGACTGGGAGACAAAGGGGAGAAGAGCCGTAGGAGAAGAAAACAAAGGATGTGTTTCTAGAACAGATCTTTAAAGGCAGTTTTTTTAAACAAGGCTTTAAGCCAAAGGAGATAGATACGACTTTGTAAAAACTATTTTTGTCTGACAAAAGATAGCGTGGACAACAAAGGATAATCTGGGAGAAAATACTTGGGTCTTTGGAAAGGCAGAGTCCCTGCCCCTAATAGAATAGATTTCTTAAAGGACAAGAAATGAGCAACAGTAGAAAAATAGGCAAAAAAATAAACACAGAAAAATCTTCGGAAGGAGAAAAGCAAAATACATGTCACTTCATTGATTTAATAGAAAAGGCAAAATAAAATATCCACTGATTTAATACTTTTTTTCAGCTGTGGAATGGCAAAAAAAAAAAAAATTAAAGGGGTTTATATCACAACAGTGCCAGTACGGACATAGAGAACAAATTCTTATCATTATCATTTGCAGAAAAAGTTGCAGTAAATAATCGTGGATTGTTAGTGTCAGCATTTTGCCAGTTTGCTCTTTGGCCTATTACCATCCCTTTTAGAGTTTAGTGTTCGTTTATCTGAGAGGTAGAATTACACAGAAAGCAGAAGAATCTGCTTGCTGATTCCCTCTCTGAGTGACCACTACAGCCAGAGCTGGACCAAGTCAGAGCCAGAAACCGAAGTCTCTGGTGCTCTACTTGTATGCAGAGACACACTTGGACCATCTTCCACTGCTTTCTCTGGGTACATTGTCCAGGGGTTGGGTCAGAAGTAGAAAAGCTGCAACTCAAACTGATGCACATGTGGGCTGCTGGTTTCACAAGCGAAGGCTTAACTTGCTAATACCATAATTGCGGCCCTTACCCTCTCATAGATTCTACAGAAATAAACAAGTTAATTTCATTAATGTATACACGTTAGTAGTGTTTATTGTGGCATTTTTCATGGTGTCAAAAATCTGGAAACAATTTGAATGATCGTAAATAGAAGAATATTGACTATTGCGGTATATAAATTGAATAATAATTATAATATTTAAGATCTTTGTGTATATTGTCTTCAAAGATAATAAAAGTCTTAATTTTAAAACAGTGTGGCATGATCTTTTTCAATAAGAAGGAAAAAGGGAAAAGCCAGTTAAGAGCTCTGAAATTAATGGTGTCAAAAGAAGTAGAAACATGTGCACCAGCCAACAGAGTAGCATGGGAGAAGCCCAGGTTCATTTATGTGCCTTTGCTTTACTTGCTTTACTTTTTAAAGGGACAAAGAAAACCACTATATGCAAAAGTTAACTATAGTCCTAGAATAATCAGTAAGGTTTGAAGGGGTTTTTTTGTAGTTTATTCCTGTTTTTGTATGGTTATTATAAAATCGTTTACACACATTTATGTATTTTGTTTTGCCTTAGCAATGTCTGATCGCCAAGAGAGTGCTCTTATAGAGCTAATGGTTTGTACAATTCGCCAAGCTGCTGAGGCACATCCTCCAGTGGGAAGGGGTACCGGCAAGAGAGTAAGTTACACTAATGGAAAATGTGCGTAAGAGACTTAACACAATGACATGTCCTGACCATATTTGAATTTCACTGATATTTGTGTCTCAAAATCCATGACACTTTTGCAAATGAGGTATATTCTTTTCTGCATGTTACCAGTACCTATACTTTATTCCATCTTGGTACTTACTTAATACTTTAAAAAATTTTGCATTTATATCCATTTCAAGTGAACAGATAATAAAAGCATACAAGCTTCCGAACTTCTGTTTACCAACTACAGTATCATTACATCAGTGAATTCTTTATCTATATTAACTTCCTTTTCTGTGGTAAGAGTGGTAATACAGGTGGTGTTTCTGTTAAAAATGAGTTAAGATTAAGATGTCCAGAGTAATGACGGAAGTTAGATCATGTCTGCTAAGCAGTGCAAGCTGGCAGAGGATGGCCCCCTTCCCCACCATCAGAGTGTCAAGTGAAGATCCTTGGTTCCTCCTCAGAAACTGGAACTGGAGGTGACCTTCCTACCCGGATGTACAATATGTACACACCAGCTTGGACCTTCAGATCTGTATTTTTGCTAGTGGCATTGTCTGCAAACTCAGCAGCTTTGATGTTAGAAGGTGTTACATGATTAAGTTCTAAAAGCACACAGGTTTAACTATTGACTGCAAACTTGATGGAAATACTGAAGTCTCAGCATTTTGATCATCTGAAATTGTGGTCCATGTTGGTAGGAGTGAGTGGTGAGAAACCCAAAATGTGATTAAAATGTCCTCCAAATGAGAGCCGTACATGGGTTAGAATAGTTCTCCACTTACCTCTGGCTGACTGGGAAACCTAGAATTAAGTCAAGTTCCATGTAAGTCCAATATGACTGAATAGATTCTCTAAAACACAACAGATCATTTCTCAGCAGGGAGATTTACTCCGCAAGTCATGGCTCTGGCATCCATTCAGCACAATGGAGAAAGGCTCAAAACAGAATTAAGGATATGAATTCACACATCAGAGAGAAAACAAACTACACAGATTGGGCCAACGTGATGGTCCAATTGACTAAATACCAGCATATAGGTGCTGGTTTGTATTGTGGCTGTTCCACTTTGCGTCCAGCTCCCTGCTTCTGTTCCGGGAAAGCAGTAGAGGATGATCCAAAGCCTTGGGACCCTGTACCTGCATGAGAGACCTGGGAGAAGCTCCTGGCTCTTTGCTTCAGATCAACTCAGCTTCAGCTGTTGTGACCAGAAGACAAAAGATTTTTGCCTTTTCTCTGTGTAAATCTGACTTTCCAATGAAAATAAACATTTTTTAAAAAGTCTAATAAATGCAAAAGCAGAAGGAAGAAGAATCGAGTTCAAAAGTCAGTGCACAAATTTTAAATTCACCAGCTAGGCTAAATGGAAGATTTGAGAATACAGAAGAAACAATAAATTAAATATTAACAGATAAGTAAGAATTATCTATTCTAGATAAAAGAGAGGGGTGGAAGATTAAAGAAAAATTAACAGAGCTTAGGAAATGTGCAGAACATCAATTGCACCAGAATATCTACAATGGAAGTCCTGAAAAGGATACAACAAGAAATGTACTTGAAGCAATAATGGCCAGGGCCGGGCTGGTGCAGTAGCCTAGTGGTTGAAGTCCTTGCCTTGCATGCACTGGAATCCCATATGGGTGCCAGTTCATGTCCCAGCAGCCCCACTTCCCATCCTCCTTCCTGCTTGTGGCCTGGGAAAGCAGAGGAGAATGGCCCAAGCCCTGTGAATCTGTACCCGCATGGGAGACCCAGAGGAGGCTCCTAGCTTTGCTTCAGCTCAGCTCCGGTCATTGCTGCTGCTTGGGGAGTGAATCATTGAACAGAAAGTCTTCCTGTCTCCCCTACGCTGTATATCTGACCTTGCAATGAAATTAAAATAAGTCTTTAAAATAAAATAATGACCAGAGCCAGCACTTTGGAACAGTGGGTAAGCCAACATGTCCAGCTTCCCTTAAGGAAGCCACTTGAAGGCCAACTGCTGCACTTCCACTCCAGCTACGTACTAATGTTTTTAGAAAAGTTAATATGGGCCTGGCGTGATAGCATAGTGTCTTGGAATGTTTCTTTTCTATAAAATTCTTCACTCATTACTATAAGTCCTTTTGAAATCACTTGTGGCTGGATTCAGGGTGAAGCAGTGAGCCGTATTAGCTGACGTTTGTGCCATGACTGAAGGCTGTTGTCTCTTGATCGCTACTGAGCAGGTTTGTGAGAAGTGAAGCCATGTCTGTCTTTAAAGTCAGAGTTAGCCTCTGGAGGCGCTTTAAGCAGTGTGCGTGTGTTCTTCAGAGGTGAGACCACAACACGATGAGATTAAAGCTTTAGAAAAATTGTGTTTATTGATTCCAATATTTTTAATAGTCATAATTATGGGTTTTTTTCTAAAAGGCTTGTACTTTTGCTTAACGTAACCAAGTAGTTTGGTTGATTTGTTTTAGGTTTCTAATAAAATTGCCCGTTACATTATCTGCCAGGGCTTCCTTATTCTTTGTCATATTTGAAATTGATAATTTGCACATGGCCCTCTTATTTGTCTGTTGTCATGTACTTTTAGGTGCTAACTGCCAAAGAAAGAAAAACTCAAATTGATGATAGAAACAAGTTGACTGAGCATTTTATCATCACGCTGCCCATGCTTCTGTCGAAGGTAGAGTCCCCGGCTTCCCTAAGAAAACTGCTGCGCGTTGCTTGTCCCCCTGCGGTAGCCAACTGCTCTGTTCTCTGCTTATCTCCTAGTATTCTGCGGATGCAGAGAAGGTAGCAAACTTACTACAAATTCCACAGTATTTTGATCTGGAAATCTATAGCACAGGCAGAATGGAAAAGGTAAGACGATGTGAAATCAAAATTCTGCTGTTTGAAATGTTATTGACTGGCTTCTTTATTGTCGTTGTATCGCTTTCTTATTCGATAGATTCTTACTTTTATTTAAACTCCAAATATCACAACTTTTCTTTTGTTTTCCCTCATCAGCATTTGGATGCTTTATTAAAACAGATTAAATTTGTTGTGGAGAAACACGTAGAATCAGATGTTCTGGAAGCCTGCAGTAAGACGTACAGCATCCTGTGCAGTGAGGAGTACACCATCCAGAACAGGGTGGACATCGCTCGCAGCCAGCTGATTGACGAGTTTGTGGATCGATTCAATCACTCTGTGGAGGACCTGCTGCAGGAGGTACCATGCTGTCAACTAATGAGCACTCAGCATCACTTAGTATGCAGATGGTTCTGATTGGAATGGAATGGAATTCTCTGTCCCTTTCAAAAGCTAACAGTATTGCTGTAGTTACATGTTCAATAAGTTATGCTTTACTTTAAAAATTTGGTGAAAACTGTTTTTGTTTTTGTTTTTCTCCAAGCCTGCTTTTTCTTAACTCATTATTTTATTTCCTATTCCTGGATGCTAATTTGCATTTTAATATTTCCAAGTTCTTAAAATGTGCCAGTGAACAGGAAGTCAAAGGGGAGTGGGTCTCTGAGGAGTGGCCTGCTTGCCAGTAATATTACCCCGAAGCAGCTGTGTGCGTGCCCGTGCAGGCGCTGCTGTGGCCGCACCGCGCTCTCCTGTCCACTACAGGGCTGGGAAGCCGCCACAGGCCCTCAGGCTCTCCTAGACAGAGGCCGACGGGGTGCTGTCATTACTCTATGCAACTAATTTTTAAGACATTTTTTGCTGTTAATAGAGCTTTTCATTGTTTTTAACCGTTACTTATAATTTTTTGTGATTTTTTTTAAAGTTTTTTTTTTTTTTTTTTTTTAGTTGAACAGCAGTTACAAAGAGAGAAGGAGAGGCAGAGAGATTGTCCCCCGGATGCCTGCAGTCGCTGGAGCTGGCCAATCCAGAGCTGGGCTTCCTCTGGCTCTCCCACATGGGTCAGGTGTCCCAAGGGCTCAGGCCGCGCTCTGCTGCTTTCCTAAGCCACAGAGAAAGAGCTGGGTCGGAAGTGGAGCGACTGGGACTTGGACCAGTGCCTCTGTAGGGTGTTAGAGCCACTGTTGGACACTTAGCCAACATGCCATGGTGCTGGCCCTTATATCTAGTGGGGGTTTTTTTAAGATTCATTTTATTTTTATTGCAAAGTGAGATATACAGAGAGGAGCAGAGACAGAGGAAGATCTTCCGTTCACTGATTTACTTCCCAAACGGCCACAATGGCCGGAGCTGCACCTATCTGAAGCCAGGAGCCTGGAGCCTCCTCTGGGTCTCCCGTGCAGGTACAGGAACCCAGGGCCTTGGGCTGTCCACGACTGCTTTCCCTGGCTGCAAGCAGGGAGCTGGATGGGAAGTGGTGCTGCCAGGATTATAACCTGCGCCCAGGTGAAATCCTGGCTCCTTCAAGGTGAGAACTTTAGCTGGTAGGCTATCACACCAGGCCCTTTATTGATTTTTAAGTAAAGGAAGTAACTTGTAATCAGTAAAATCTTTCAGATAATGTAAGAATCTTTCAAGTCTATATTTTTAAGTCTGCAGTTGGTTTTAGGGAATTTATCATATAAATCAGAAAAGCATATGAGATTGCATTACAGTGTTATTTAAAGTACAAAAGTGGCTATATCTATGGGGATTATTGATATTTTAGGGTTTTGTGATGGAGGCATTCTGTATTTTCGCCTATTTACATTTTCTTGTTTAAAGTGAATACTGTTTATGCAATAAATATTCCATTTTGCAATAAATATTAATGAACTTTAGTGTGACTAAGTATCGTTACAGTGATGCGGTTATCTTCATTTACAGGGAGAAGAAGCTGATGACGACGACATTTACAACGTGCTTTCCACTTTGAAGCGGCTAACTTCCTTTCACAAGTACGTTATTTATTTAAGCAGATTTAGTGAATGACATAAACTAATCAGCCTGTGCAAGGTGTCTGTGACGTTCATATAACAAAGGAAAGTAACGCTTCTTTTCGTTATTCGTATTTTTCATTAAATTGTGTTTTGTCAATCAAATTATCCATGAGTATTTGTCATTTTATGGCTTTTAGAAGTAGTGGCAAGTAAGAAATGAGATGGGAGTGTGTTGGTCAGAAGGTAGGAAGGTTCAGTTGGGAAGTTCAGCGACTGCCTGGCTCATAACTCACTGTATTCTTGAACATTTTTAACGAGAAGTGTAAAGCAGTCTCACCACGAGAAGGTTGAGAATGTTTATGTTAGTAGCTGGTCTGAGCAGCTGAGCAGTCCTCGCTCCCAAACGGCACATTCTAGATGACGAATATGCAGCGTTTGTATTTGTGAGATAAACGTGAAGGAAGATTTGGAGGGAAATCCATGAGAATCCTGTGACCTCTCTCTGAATTGTTCTTTTGAATAAGAAAACTAGATTCAGGTCAGTGTATGAGTTAGTTTCAAATTGTAACTCTGAATTCTGTGGAGACAACAAGCCCCTTGTTGACTTTTCAAAAATTTGTTTGAGGGACAACCAGACATGCCCTCCTCTCCCTGGTGCACTCCCCAGAAGCCTGCAGGGGCTCTGGTCTGGACTCCAAGCAAGAAGTTAGGTCTGTGTGTGCCACGTGAGATGGGTGGCAGTTGGGTCTGTGTGCGCCACGTGAGATGGGTGGCAGTTGGGTCTGTGTGCGCCACGTGGTGGGTGGGAGGAATCCAGTGGTTTCCAGAGTCTGCCGTGGTAGGAAAGTGCAGCCTCACTCTGCGGGTCATACCCAGGCACTCCTACCCGGGCATCCCTACACACATCGTCTCAGCTTGGCCAAACCTCCGCCACAGAGCTCTTTGTTTAAGAAATTTTTGACACTTGAAGTTAAAAAGTTGACAGCCAGTGTTTAAAAAGCCTATTTTTAATAGTATATTTTTAAAGGTTATGAGAATGTACAGTGTGCCGTTAACTCGTTCTGAATGCCTTACTGAGCCCAGCCTCAGGGCCGGCCGGTTGTGACGCCTGTGACGTGGGCGTCTTATGTCAACACTGCTTCCCACATCTTCCAGTTTTGCCTTTATTTCCGTCCCATGAATACTAGTCTCGTTTTCAAAACACTATAGTAGTTCTAGTATTAAATTATGAATTAATTTGTTTAAAATTATTTTAATCTGAGCTAGAAGGTTATCCACCTGTCAGATGTTCTGTAAAATGTGTAAAGTTATATTGATATTTATTATTTTGTGAATTCCTAGTCTCATGATATTTCAGAACGTTGGCGTAATAGTGCGATTGAAGGATATGTGTATTGCTGCAAATGTGTAGATTTTGCAAGTCTTGTCTGTCACACACAGATGAATGTCGGCTTTATGGACGTTTCCATTTGTAAAAATTATTTTATCATCTTAACTGAAATTCTTGTCACATTTTAATTTCCTTTCACTCAAGAAAAAGTTAATGTATTTTTGTTTATTTTAGTGCTCATGATCTCACAAAATGGGATCTGTTTGGTAATTGCTACAGATTGTTGAAGACTGGAATTGAACATGGAGCTATGCCAGAACAGGTAAGAGTTTACTGATACTCCATCTCAGTCACTTTAGCAAGTAAACTTAACGGGGAAATCACTTAACTATCCAAATCCTTAATGTGATAATTCTTTAATGCAGTTACCTCCTTTCAGAATTATTGCCGAATGATTGAATTACTGACAGGTGTGTATCTTCAGAAACTGCTTTTGCTATAATGCATCTTAGTAACTTAAGATAAAAAATACTGCAGGCTCGACACCACAGCCTAGTAGCAAAAATCCTCGCCTCGCGTGCCCCAGGATCCCATATGGTCGCCAGTTCATGTCCCAGCTGCTCCAGTTCCCATTCAGCTTCCTGCTTGTGGCCTGGGGTAGCAGAGGAGGACAGCCTAAAGCCTTGGGCCCCTGGACCCACACAAGAGACTTAGGTGGAACTGCTGGCTCCTGGTTGTGGCCTGGAGTAGCCCTGGCTTTTGTGGCTGTGCAGGGAGTGCGCCCGTGGATGGAAGATCCATCTCTCTCTTGCTCTCTCATTCTTTTCAGGCCTTCTCTCTCTGTGTGTGTGTGTGTGTGTGTGTGTGTGTGTGTGTGTGTGTGTGTGTGTGTGTGTGTGTGTGTGTGTGTGTGTGTGTGTGTGTCTGACTTTGTGCCTCTTGAGACATAGAAACCTTGTATTTTGTTCAACCAAGCTTTTGAATATTTCTGTTGCCTTTTCAGTTTTGGCTGCTGATAGAAGTACCTACTGTAGAGCGCTTACACATTTTCCTTATGACACTTGCCTATTGTCAGGTTTTGGTTTTCTTTTTAATTGTGTTTCTTATTTTAGCCAAATGTCCTTTGGGTTATTTTGGTGGAAATTGTGGACAGAGATCAGATGCTGTTACTTAATCCATGATTATCAATTAGAAATCACCAAATTCTTCAGATTGTGTAATTGTAGTGAAATCACTGCTTTTAAATAGAGTGTAGCTTTATCCTGTCCTTGTATCCCTTTAAGAACTTAGAAATTATTTCATTTACCAACTTCTTACTATGCTAAGGGCATGTTGTCTTCAGGTCCACTGAGGACTCTGTGTGTTGTCCACCTGGGATGGAAATCACGTGGTGCCTTCAGGCTTTTCACCACCACACCCGCCCACAGACACACATCCATCTGCCAGCGCCGCGTCTGTCCAGGAGGCAGCAGGATAGAATCATGAATCACAAGAGTCTTTAATCTTGTGAAGCATCGTAGGTTGTTTCTGTTTATTTAGTGAATTCCGCCTCTTGCATGTTTCTTGTCATACTCTTAGCCCTGCTGCCAAATTCTTAGTTTAATACTTTGTGTTTTCCCTGTGGATCACAACAGAAATTTTCTATTTTGTCTTAGCGACTTCGGTTGCACTTTGTCTCCAATCAGAGCTCTATTCGGTAATTCTCAACTGAATGTATTTGAATGAGAAATTCTTCTGAAGATTTTTTAATAGGTAAATACTCTAGGTTTTATTTTTAATAGGTAGATACTCTTGATATAGTACTTTGAGCACTTTATCAAATGAGATCCAGTTTAATTGTTGTAGGACAGTTTAATTTTATTCAATTCTGTGCAGCTACAAATAAAATAATTATGTTGCGGTAGGGGAATACTTGCAGTATTATGTTGAATGAAAACAGAAATCAATATATGTACTTTTAAAGCCTGATAATATATGCACGTGCATATGTGCTCATATCTAGTTGACGTCTTATTTCTGGGATGCTGCAGAGGAAACTTGGTAGTGGCTTTCTTAACGGACAGAGCTCTGCACTGGTCAGGAGGCGTGCTGGATTACAGACCCTTTGCACTGGTGCATATTTTATCATGTGCATGTGCTTTTTTTTTTAAGATTTATTTTTATTATTTTTTTTTTATTGGAAAGGAGGATATACAGAGAGGAGGAGAGACAGAGAGGAAGATCTTCCGTCCGATGATTCACTTCCCAAGTGAGCACAACGGGCCGATACTATGCCGGTCCGAAGCCAGGAGCCTCTTCCGGGTCTCCCACGCGGGTGCAGGGTCCCAAAGCTTTGGGCTGTCCTCGACTGCTTTCCCGGGCCACAGGCAGGGAGCTGGAAGGGAAGCGGGGCTGCCGGGATTAGAACCGGCGCCCATATGGGATCCCGGGCGTGCAAGGCGAGGACTTTAGCCACTAGGCCACGCTGCTGGACCCTGTAATGTACCTTCCACTCATGTTCATTTGTCATTTTGGTTTAGCAAGGGCAGAGAAGACTATAGCATGTATTCAAATATAAATGTAGTCAAAGACCTTTCCAAAATGGAATTCTCTTTCAGGATTTTTAATTTTATTTCCTATATTTTCTCCTGTGTGCTGGTTTAATTGTTGTTGTTGTTGTTGTTGTTGTGTGTGTGTGTGTGTGTGTGTGTGTGTGTGTATTCCCACACACACTTAGATTAGTGGTTCTTAAAGTGTGGTACGAGGACTGCCAGGAGCTTCAAAGGAGCTTCGCAAAATCAGAACAGTTTGCTTGTAAGATTTTGTTCACTGTTTTCATTGTCATTCTGTGCCAGTGTGCAGTACTGATGTCTTTTAACAAAGAACATACCTGCATTTTTACCTGTGAAAACTATTCAACTATCTTATTTTTCTCTGTGTGTGGTTGGATATTTTTTATGTACTTCATACAATACATTGTATAAGAATGAACAAGCAAATAGGAAAACTCAGTTTTTTACTAAAGGAGACATTGATGAAATCTGCAAAACCGTGATGTCGTGACTCGGGCTGTTGTTCTTTTAAGTTCACCTGGTCCTGGGTGCAGGCACCTGAAGCAGTGGCTGAAATGCGCTCAGGCAGACACCGTCCCGTGTCAGTAGCTGGGTTTGAGTCCTGGCAACCTTGTGGTTTAGCTTCGGTGGGAGGCAGCAATGATGGATGGCTCGGGTGCTTGCCGCCCTACCACTGACGTGGAGGTGGGCACTGTCTCAGATCTCCTGGCTTCACCTTGGCATTCCCAGGCTCTTCACACACATTGGAGGAAGGAACCAGCGGATGGAAAATCTGGGTCTGTTTGCCTCCCAACTGTAAATTTCATTAAAAAAAAAAAAAAAAACTATAGGAAAAGGGGGATAAACAATTTTAAAACAGAAATTAGTTTTTAAAGAAGAATTCATCATTTATGTAAAAATCTTAGTGTGTAATTTTTTAAATGTCTATTTACCTTCATCTACCCAAAAGCACAGCAAAGGCAGAGATGTTACTTCTGAAATGCCAGCAGTAGCCGGGCCTGGCCTCAGCCAGAACCAGAATCCCAAACTCCATCTGCGTCCGAGCACTTGAACCACCGTCTGCTGTCTTTAATGGGCGTTAGCAGAAAGCAGAGACGCCTAAGTCAAGCAGGAGCATTGCTACGGGATTGTGGCCATCTCAACAGGCAGCTTGACCCACTCTGCCACAATGCCCTTCCCTATCTTTTGCATTTTGAAAAATAACAATTTTATAAACATTGCTTAGTTTTAATTTTTAAAATAGTTATACTAACTTTATACACACACACAAAGGTTTTGGAGTGTTCTTAGTTTTACAAATGTAAAGAGGTCCTAGCAACTAAACACTCAAAGCTTCTGCCAACAGACATGGATGAGATGTGTAATAATTACCAGGCATGCCTGAAGTTCAGAGCAATAAGTAAGGGCCAGTGCAATGGCCCAGTTCCCTCGCCTGCAGCTCAAGTGCCAGCATCCCGTGTGGGCTCTCCTTCATGTCGTGGCTGCTCTTTCCAACTCAGCTCCCTGCTTATGTCCTGGGAAAGCAGCAGAGGATGGCCAAAAGCCTTGGGACCCTGCACCCACGTGGGAGACCCAGAGGAGCCTCCTGCCTCCTGACTTCAGATCAGATCAGTTCCTGCCATTGCAGCCATTTGGGAATGTACCAGTAGATAGGAGATTTCTCTGTTTCTCCTTCTCTCTGTAACTCTGCCTTTTCAGTAAAAATAATATATGTATCTATATGATAACTAAACAGTGGCATGTTGTCAGTACTTATCTGATACCTGTAGCATGTATAGTCGAAAATATCAGTGTGAAAGAAGTTGGGCTGGCACCATCGCTGAGCAGATGTTTCTCCCTACAGTGCCTTTGCTGCCTGTGGGTGCTCCCTGCGGGTGCTAATTCGTGTCCTTCATGGTCGGCTTCTGATCCAGCTGCCTATTTGGCCTGGGAAAGTGGTGAAGGATGACCCACGCCCTTACCCCTTAGCCCTTAGCTCCTGCACCCACACCTGGAAGAAGCTCCTGGCTCCTGGCTTTGCACTGGCCCAGCTCCAGCCATTGTGGCCATTTGGGAAGTGAACTAGAAGGTAGAAGATTCCGTCTTCATGACTTTCCCTTTAAAAGAAAAAAAAAAAATTTTAAGCCAGAATTAATACATACTTCAAGATTCCATTCATACAATGTTTAGCACTACATATATTAAACTTTAAGGATTGGGACTTAGTTAAAATACACGAATTATGGATGAAAACAACTGCTATCTTGAGAAGAAAGCAGGCAGACATGGGGCAGGGCTTCTGGGAACGTGTTTTTGCACTTTGGTGGTGATTACACAGACACTTGTTAATTAAAGTTTGTTTTATGTTCTTTCCAGCACGAATGCTATATTTCATGTTAAAAGTGGTTTAAAATTAAGTAGACTATTTTAAAATTTGCATAAGAATAACGTAATATATCTTACAGTATAACTATTCATGATACTACACCTTTGTTTAAAGCAGTGTTATTTGGATATATGTTGTGTATTTTCTAGACTGATGATTGCTTATCCTCTTTATGACCAAATATTTTATTAGACTTTATAAAGTAAAAAAGTTATAACTTGTTGTCTGTGGAACTATGCATTTGCATTTTTTACTAAAAATTTGTTTTTTCTTTGTCATTTGATACAGATAGTCGTACAGGCACTGCAGTGTTCCCATTACTCCATTCTGTGGCAGTTGGTGAAAATTACTGATGGCTCTCCTTCCAAAGTAAGTAAGAGTTTGTAAAGGCAGCAGGGTTGCTAGGAAAGCACTAGCATTGCTTAACTGATGTTTAATAATTTACTATATTATGTGAGTTACAACCTTTAACATGATAATTTGTTTTTACCAGTTTTCTATGTAAGCATTTGCCGCCTTTTGCAAGACATTGTTACCTAAACAGCAGATGCATCATTGTATGCCAAAAACAGAACATTGTATAAAAAAGGCAATATCCTTGCAAGGTGGTAGTATGTAGCTTTCATTCTAGTAATATGGCACCCTGGCATCCCAAACTAAGCCAAGATTTTTGAGTTCAGTGATGTTTAAGGTCTTTCCCGAGTAGACTATCTAACAGGGACTCACGTGTCGCCGTTGAAGGTGACATCCGGAAGAGTTACTTCCGGCAAAAGGACAGACTAGAAATCACCGGTTCCTTCCATGAGCTAGAGGGTAAAGCACTCTGTCTTAAAATTGTCACTAATTAAAGGGCATGGTGAGGAAAGTTTACAACCAGGAAATATAATCACTTAGGTTGTCATCCCAAATTCACATTACCAAAAATGATCAAAAGAAAAAGAAACACATAGAGCGTGCTCAATGGCTCGGTGGCTAAATCCTCACCTTACAAGCGCTGGGATCCCATATGGTCGGCTCAACTAATTCTAAAGCTGCGAACACCTCAACTTTTATATGGGAGGTGGAGAGTTCATATCAAAGGGACACCTTTAACGGTAGCATTTGCTATAACCTGAGTAATGGGCATGTGGGGGAGTGTCCGAAGGGAATCATTGTGCCAGTCCACACTCCTTGCTTAGGAAGCGTGTCAGCTGTGAAGAGCTGATAGTGGGCTTCCACTCCTGCAGCAAAGCAAACATCCTCCCTACTCCTCAGCACTGGGAAACCTGAGCAACCATTTACTGAAGGCTGTCTGGGAAACTGATGGTGGTGTGCGAGATCAGACGGTCGCTTCGTATTTCACAGGCTGCTCTCAGTATTTCGGCTTTTTCCCTTCACCCTACATGCTCGTGCTTGTTGCGGGCCAGACGGGAAAGGCATTTTCTGCTGTCCTGGTCAGATCGTCTCCTTTGTGTGTAGCTTTTAGGTGAATGGTTTGAGCTCACATCAGTATCTGAGCTTGGTCCAGAACTCAGAGACCCAGCTCAGCAGTCTATTTCACCTTGATTCTAGCTACTGCCAGGGGATTCTGTTGGCCATGCGTGTTGGTATTTTCCATTTCCTTATGTATCCTGTGTGTCAGCTCCTTGGAAGTTGGATATGCTACCATTTCTAACCTCCACTGGTACCTTTTACCTTTTAATACTGAGTACCATGGACAGCCAGGTATCCATCGAGGGGCCAGAAGTTCCTCATCCTCCACTCACTCACATGTCATCTCCATAAATCATGTGTTTATGTGAGCAAAGGCCATTCTGGCAGATCTTACCATTGCCACCAAATGTAAAGAATGCTGAGGAATAAACCAAATTTAGTTTCTCCCACACTCACTTTTACATAGTCTCCTCTCTGATTGTAGAAATGTAGAGCTTCATACATTAAATCAGTTCTTCAGCAGACACCACCTGGATTTCTTCCAATTCCATTCTGACTCCCAGATAGTGTTAAAATAATCAGATTCCCACAGTTTAAAAGCTCAACTCACAAGACTGCCCCTGCTCAAGATGCCAGTTATAAACGCAAAGTTATTGTATCTATACTTCTGACTGACCCTCCCAACATTAGGGTTTCTAAATACTTTTTTGGGTTCTTCAGATTCAGTTAATTTGCTAGAGTGACTCACATTAAGCAGAAGAAACATTTTATTAAAATTTATCGGTTTATTATAAAAAATGGAGATAAATACCAGCTAAAGAAATAAAAAGAGAAAGGCATTTGATAAGTACATGGAGATTCCACACCACACCCATCAGGACTCTCCAAAGCCAGCGAGCTTTTGGGTTTTCATTGAGTCCTCATTTCATAGGCAGGATGGATTACATTATTGTCCGTTGATGATCAACATACAAGATCAGTGGCTCTTTCAATCCTGTTCTTGCTTCAGCTCATGGGCTTTGATATTTTTGTTTTTCATTTCTACAGAATAGTTTCTCATTAAATTCTTCACTGACTCAGATCATACAGTGACATCATTTTCTCCAAGATTTTTTATTTTCTTTTTCATTTCTACAGCAACACATTGGTCATTCAGTAACATGCTATTTAACTTCATGGTGTTGTCAATTTTTAAACTTTATGCCTGTTGATTTTGTTATGGCTTTTCATTTAAGGGAATGTTTAATAGCTGTGTAATAGACTGTCATATCCAGATGTGAAGATACAGTGCAGTGTGCCTCTCTACTTCATGATCTAAGATGGATTCCCAATGAAACTGTTTACTCTATCTTGACAATAGGATGCTGGACTGTCTGCCATTGTCCATGCCCACAATGTCAGCCTACACTTAACTAGCAGAATAATGGACTTATAACTGCTTATTACTATTATGATATATTATTATGATAATATAGGGGAAATCAGGGGTGAGGGGAAGGGAGTGAGGGAAATTCCAGAGCCTATGGAATTGTACCATAAAAAAGTAAAAATTTAAAAAAAAAAAATAGTACTTGACACTTAATCTCTGCTGTTAGGTAGACTGTTCCATGGTATTCTCCAGTTTGTTTAGAAAATGACCATTTTATACAAAATTTTAACACTCTCGTGGTGAGAGTCAGCCTTCAGTAGCTCCTTACTGCTATAAGAATATGCAGTGATTTAACAGCCAGTTCACAGGCCTTCCGTGTAAGTGTGAGTAGGTCCTGATTCCTTTTTTGCTTTCTGCCCTGCTCCTCCTTCCCTATTTATGCCCCAACTATAATAAATGACCAGCTCCTCAAAAGTCCGTCCAAGCTTTTGAAAATCTGTTGTGTATCTGGAGCATCTTTTTTTTAAGGCTAATAATCTCTGTCCTTCAGGACAGCGTTTGCTTACGTGTCATCTTTTCTGGGGAGTCTTTGGTGACTTTTTAAAATCCAAATTACAGAGACAGACGATCTGTCTTTGCTCGCGCTGCAGGTGACCTCTGCGGCCAGGGCTGAGCCGGGTTAAGGCCAGGAGCTTCCTCTGGGTTTCCCTGTAGGCAGTCGGTGCTCAAACACTTGGGCCATCTTCCACTGCTTTTTCCAGGCCCTTAGCAGAGCATTGGATCAGAAGTGGAACAGCTGGGACGTGGACCAGTGACTGTATGAGATTCCAGTTTCACAGGCAGCAGCTTTCCACACTATACCACAACGCCAGCCTCTGGGTATTTTTAATCCAGGATGTTGCAGTTTAGGTATTGAATATTCATCTGAAGGAACATGGATGGTTCTGAAGGCAGTGTCCTTTGTGCTGTTCTGTGCAAGATGAGCTCATTTCTTCAAGTATCACAGAAGTATGTCATTGTTTAGGAGAATCCCCAAAGCAACGAGTAGTACAAGTGCTGTAGTGTAACGGAGTACTTTACTTTCTAGGGTATCTGCTTCTCAATATAATAGCTACGATAGGATTTTGGCTTAGTAGTAACTGAGAATATGAGCTCTGGTACGAAACATTTTAATGTTCTTGTTGATAAATACCACCTAGTGTATATATTAGTAAGCCCTCAAATCTAGCATACATCCCCTGCAAAATGAAATTAGTTCCATATGGAATGTTATGTGGCCGTCTAGCTACTCTATACACATCCAGTCTTCGAGCCCATTCTACTGCAAAAGCTTATCTTTATTCCCTTGCCATTTTAAGTGCTACAAATATGATAGGAAAGGCGTACAACTGTTTTGCTCAGTTGATTTTAGGGTGCTGCAGGGTTCCCTAACCTTCCAGGCAATGAGTGTGTGTTACAGGAATAACTAAGAATTTTATATCACCCTAAATAAACTGTATTTGTAAGGCAAAGCACTATATGATTGGGAATTGAACATCTAAACAGAACTGCATGTTTGAGTTCATTGCTCTTGCTGCCCTTCCAGTTGGAACCGATAACTAGGAAGTAACGTGGGTACCAGCAATAGCTTGTTCTGCGCATTTTCCTGATAATAGTCCAGCTTAGCTATTTTCCATGTGTTACTTACTGCCTTTTTTAGGATGTTCTGATTCATGCTCACAAAGCTAAATGTGTCTCACAGGAGGATTTGTTGGTGTTGAGGAAAACGGTCAAATCCTTTCTGGCTGTGTGCCAGCAGTGCCTGTCAAATGTTAACACGCCAGTGAAGGAGCAGGTAAGAAATTACACGTTAAGAGCAGGCAGTTTAAAAGAACTCATTGTCTTGATAAATATTAAGATAAGGTAACTTTTATAGGAAATTGTAAAATTTGTGAGACCTAGAAAAGAAGATATCTGAATATTTAAGTTATGGGTTAACAAGCTTGTTGTTATAAAATGTATTTTAACTTGACATGTATACTCCCATCACCTTAAAGAACATACTCAGATTTATAATTCTTGGGTCCTGAGATTTCTGTCAGAAAATTCAGTCTAGGGAACTGACCTGTAGCCTGCCCTTATTTAGGGACTCTTGAGGTTTTTCCCACACCAAAAAAGAGCAAATTGCACATGAATATGAATGTTTCAGCTCTGTCACCAGCTGCCGGCACAGCTGTCTCTTGACCCGCAAGGAGCCCAGGAATACACACTGGGACGTGTGGCTAACGAGGAGGCCCTGCAGGCTGTGGCGGCAGGTTTAGGTCTCTTTGGGCAAGAGATCCTTGAGTATCTGTCCACGAGCAGTGGTGAAGAAGTGAAGTAATAGGGCCCGACATGATGGCCGAGTGGCAAAATCCTCTCCTTGCATGTGCCAAGATCCCAGCCTGTTTCCCATTTTGATTGAAAGTTACCAGCTTTAACTTCAGTGGAAATAGGGGTGTTTTTTTTTTTTTCTCCAGTTTTATTTGATTATTTTTATTTAATGAGAGAGGGCTCTTATTTACTGGTTCACTCCTGAAGTAGCCACAAGGGCTAAGATTGGGCCACACGGAGACCAGGAGCCAGGAGCTTCCTGTGGGTCCTTGACCTGGGCCATGTCCTGCTGCTTCGTCAGGTCCATTCGCATGGAGTCTGCTCACAGTGGAGCAGTTGGGAGTCAGCACCTCTGTGGGATGCCAGCCTCACGGGTGGCAGCCAGCCCCTGCACCGCAGCACAGTAATGGCCTCCCAGATGACAATTTCTCTATGAATAGTCTGCACCTAAATTTAAGCCTACTATTAGATTTTATCGCATTTTATTTTTACATTAAATCTTTTTAAGGATTCCAAATCATAGTTTTCATGGCTTAAGAACCACAGAATTGCTGAATTTAAAATTTTTCTTAAAATTTATGCCGATTATTTCATGAAATAGTGTTCATCAATGCCTAAATAATTTAACAATGTTTTACCAGTTCTGTATCTCCAGGTGAGTGTAACTCATTTTTTTACAGTTCAAGTCAAAATCTCTTAATCAGCTTTTTTGTTAAATACAAATAAAAGGAATAGATTATGCAAGTGTGGGGAATGAGCTTGGCTCTGGCTGTATGGTGTGACAATGGGATCTTAAGTGTGATAATGCCCAAGGAGTAAAAGTAATGTTATTAAACTTAGGAGTTAAAACTAAATAGAATTCAAGTAGCTAAAATGCATTATGGTGTTGAACTGCCTTCACTTGATGTGTTTTGTGACTGTAGCCATATTCATGTCATTCTGCTGATGAATTCCCTTTGTATTGCAGGCTTTCATGTTGCTCTGTGATCTGTTGATGATTTTTAGCCACCAGTTAATGACGGGTGGCAGAGAGGGCCTTCAGCCGTTGGTGTTCAATCCAGACCCTGGGCTTCAGTCAGAGCTCCTCAGCTTCGTGATGGACCACGTGTTCATTGACCAGGATGAAGAGAACCAGAGCATGGGTACCCAAGCCCTCACCTGCTTTACAAGCCCGGAAGCGGGGGGTCAAGTTCAATCCTAAAAATGACTGAGCATTTCTCCCGCTGAAAAAACGTTAATAATGTGATTATGTAGTGCATAAACAGAAAAAACAAAGTGATCTTTCTGTCCATTAGCAGTTGTTCTTCAAGAGCTTTGTCTGTCATTGAGCGTCCCTGTTTTTCTAAAAGCTAATTGCTGCTGTGTGTAGATTTAGCATAAATCTATGTGATCATCTCATTGATAAAAGGCTAGATTTCAGTTCAGTTATCACAGACTTACACTGAATGTGCAGCTTGCCGTGTCCCACACGTACAGATGTACACAGGATAGTGCTATTTCTAGTCGGCTGTCCAGGCCAGCAGGTTTTCTTTTAAAGGAGGGAACCCAATTGATTTTCTGTTCCTTAGTAATCACTGTACATTACTGAAATGCCCCAAATATGTCTAAATATTAAATGTTGAAAGAATATCTTAAGCCTCATTAGTCAAAATTCTGCTGGGCCCACAGAATAACAATTTAGCAAAATTGCACTGAATTATCAATGATTACTTATGTTATTTGAAATTTGTCATTTGTAAAAAAATAATTTAAGTTTTCTAATGTAATTATAGAAGGCATATAAGATCCAAAAATCCAATTGTTACTGTCAAAATATTTTTTTTTAAAGATTTTATTTTTATTGGAAAGGCAGATATACAGAGAGCCAGAAAGGAAGATCTTCCATCTGATGGTTCACTCCCCAAGCGGCCGCAATGGCTGGAGCTGAGCCAGTACGAAGCCAGGAGCCAGGAGCCAGGAGCTTGTTCCAGGTCTCCCGCATGGGTGCAGGGTCCCACAGCTTTGGGCGATCCTCAGCTGCTTTCCCAGGCCACAAGCAGGGAGCTGGATGGGAAGCGGAGCCCATATGGGATCCCAGTGCATTCAAGGCGGGGACCTTAACCACTACCCTATCACGCCAGGCCCATATAATTTAGAAAATGCTAAACTGAAATGTATATTTGCTTGCAACTCCCAGAGACAGGATTTAATGGCTAGCTGCCTTTAAAAAATAAGGATCCCAGATTTCTCAGGTGTTGATATAATCACAGCAGGGCTAATGGGCAGAAAGGAAAGAGACCTGGAGTCACTTTGTTTGTGAATAGTTCCATGTGAACTGGTGAGTGGCCAGGCCAGGTGTTGGGCAGGGGTTGTACAATATTTTACAGTATTAGGTATATGGATATAATGATTTGCAAAATAAATTTTACTTATGTGCTAATATAACCATGTGCATGTATTTCTGTTACTTTCTCAAATATTTTTCAAAAGAATGGCTTTTTCCTTGTCTGAAACAATTTCAGACACTGTCTTTCTGTGGGAATATATTTGCACATAAGCAAGATTGAAATTTTTTTAAAACAGAATTTTAAGCAATATCATCAAAACAATTATGAGTGTCAGAAAAACAATGTCTGGTTTACTAATTAATTCAATTTTCAGAATGCTAACCTAGAAAGTCGGGAGTTTAGGCCTCCCGAGCAGTTACTAAGTCTAACTCATCACAGGAGCGTCCGTCACACAGCTGCCCGTTCTTTATCCATTTGTGAAATTGTACCATTACGCTGATATTGAGTTATATAGAATGCAGAGATAAAAAAACCAACATTTGTGACAATCTATTTTCTGTGGTTAGAGGGTGATGAAGAAGATGAAGCTAATAAAATTGAGGCCTTACATAAGAGAAGGAACCTGCTGGCTGCCTTCAGCAAGCTCATCATCTACGACATAGTGGACATGCACGCGGCCGCGGACATCTTCAAGCACTACATGAAGGTAGCGTTGACTTCACCCTGTCAGCCGCGTGCCACACAGTCCGCATGAAATGATGACAAAAGCTAAAGTGGACGCTTTTTGCCTATTCATTTTAGGTGATTTTCTACAGAATGTCTGGGTTTGATTATGCCTCCGTTTCAGTTGTGCTGTAGTAAGTAACGATGTGTTTTAGAGTTGTAGTAAAGGACGAACGTGATGTGCGCTGTACTGTAACCGGAGGTTTTCAGATGTGGAGCTTTGTTCCAAGACTTTCACATCATAACTAAACATTCCCAGAAATGAGGTTCAGAGAGATCAGCTCTCTCGGAGGTGACCCGGCCGTCCGGCGGGGCCTGCCGAGTGCGTCAGCAGGTCTGTGCTGTGGAGCAGCATCTCGGGCAGTACATTCTGGAAATCCGTCCTGATGCGACCCCGGCTGGCAGCCAGGCGTCAGTGGCGTTTCAGCTTCCCCCGCGACGTTCTCTGCTCCTTGGCAGATCAGATCTACGAGTATGTCTGCCAACGCATTTCCTATTTTTCAACAATCTTCAAAAAGCACACAAAATGTTTCAGTCGTTTCTGCAAGTTTTTCTAGAATGTGATTCAAGCCTAGGAAATGAATCCATTTGGAATGATTGGATGCTATCATTAGCGTTCACTCCGGTGGGATCGGCTCCATTTGACCAGTGTTTATCCTGTTGGTGTGCAGCTGTTCACACAGCAGTACGAAACAGGGAGCCTGAAGTGCTTTGAGTGGGAAAGCCAACTACCATCCCGTACACTCCCGTGGGCTTTCCGCGCTAGCTTGTATTGCATAACCGCATTCAGTGCTGTCCAATCAAACTTCTCCTAATAACTTACTCACAAGCAAAATTCTATTAAATAGAAAGTCAAATCTGTCAACTTCAATTTGTCCTTTGCCCTATTCAGGCTCATTCCTTGGAAGCAAGCAAGCAGTTTTAACTACTTTGGTTTTAGTTCTTCAAAAGTTTTTTTTACCTATGTTCTGTTCTGTTGTCATTTTTTAAATATCTTTTGAATCATGTTAAGAAAATTGAGTTTTTCTAATCTGCCAACAGCTACCTCTCTTGGGATCTCTGATGTTTAATTGTATAAGATTTACTTGCTTATTTGACAGAGTGACCGAGAAAGGGAGGGTGGGAGAAGAGGGAAGAGAGAGATCTTCCCTCCACTCTTTCGCTCTTCAAATAGCTGGAGCCTCCTGGGCTGCTCCAGGCCTAAGCCAGGAGCCTGGAACTCCACCCAGGTGCCCCGTGTGGCCGAAAGGGCTGAGTGCTTGGGCCATCTTCCTTGCCTTCTTGGGTCCATTAGCAGAGAACTGGGTTCCAAGTGCAGAGTCAGGGCTAAAACGGGTCATATTGGCATCATGGGGGCAGTTTACCCACAGTGCCACAGCACCGGCCCCTCCAGTTTTAAGTACTATTTCTAGTTATGATCTTAAATGTCTTATATGTGATCCTTCAGCTTTAGACAGTATCATTTTACTCTCATCGTGATGAAATTCAGCTCTCAAGATGATGCCATTCAGCACTTCTCTGCTCCTTTATGTCATGAAATTTCAATACATTTCTCTTTTCTTCACAGTATTACAATGATTATGGTGATATCATTAAGGAAACACTGAGTAAAACCAGACAGATTGACAAAATTCAGTGTGCCAAAACCCTTATTCTCAGTTTGCAGCAGGTAAGAAATTTGAAGAGAGGAAATCAAAGAATTGAAATAACAGTATTATGCTTTACGGATTTAGTATGAAAATCTTGTTTAAAGCAGGTCGATTTATCAGTACTTTACTGAGGATTCAGTGTGATAGAGACAGTCTGCATCTTTTTCTCTGAAAAAGAATCCTATGGTTCCACAAAGACACAAAATCCTGAGGCGATCTAATCTCAGACAAGTACTAATGTTTAAAAAAAATGGCACAAATGGTATTTAAGGAGAAAGGAGAAGTATCCAAAAAAATTGTGAAAATAAGACACCTAGTAAATGCCTAGTTAATTGAACTAGAGTTTGGGAAATCTCGATGTGTTTGCATGCATTCCATCTATGAGAAAGGTCTTATGCAAATCAGAGGGGAAAGGATCGGGAGTAAGCGGTGAGGCTTCCTTTAGCCGTCATGGTCTTACCCAGTATTCATCCAGAATGAATAACATCCAGATGGGCTTTTTATAAAATGGTTAAAAATTAAAATGTCCAGGAAAATAAGATTTTTTTAATTCTTTCTAGAGTAGACATAAAAGTATGTTATGCATTTGGCTTTCTTCACCAATCAACATTTTTAACAGTTCTTTTAAAGTGACAGGGAAAATATTTCCAAATTTACCTAGCAAATTCTACGTATCAATTGGGAAGATAAATAAATCCCATGGAAGAGTCAGCAAGGATATTTTTAAAGGCAGTACACAGAGGAAGAATGTGTTTTTCAGCCCACTTTGAAAGGCAGAGACAGGCACAGAAGTCAAAGAGACCAGGCCCAGGCCCAGAGCCTAGGACTCGGTCTGCGTCCCCTGAGTGAGTGGCAAGCGCTCCAGCAGGTCTGCCGCCTGCAAGGTGTGTGAGCAGGATAGGAGCCTCCGACCAAGGGCTTGGCAAGGTGAGGCGCACGCCCTGCTAGCACCTTAATCACTACCAGTTGCCCCGCCCTTAGAGGAGAAACCTTACTAGGCAATAAGTTGTAAAAAGAAGCATAGCTTCATTAGTAATTGATGAATTACAAATTGAAACATATTTACCATTGCTGAACAGATTGGCATGACGTGAAGAAAATCCTTTTGGAAAGAAAGTTCTCTTGCTTTCTTGGAAGACAGTTGTGCAGTTCATTTCAAAACTTAAGATACATGTAAAGGTATTTTAAAATGTTTGCTGGAAACTTAGATTTAAATATCTATTTTAGTTCAAAACGTTTTGAAATCCATGCATAGTTTTTCCATAGTAAACATTTCCATGAACGTTGAACAGTAGGGTCGGGTTGGGTTGGGCTTTTTGTTTGAAAGGCAGAGACAGGAATCTCCTATCTACTGTTTTATTCCCCAGGCGGCAGCAATAGCCACTGCTAAAGGGGACCGCAGCTTGCCTGACTTGACTGGGGTGATGGAAGCCACCCCAAGGCAGCAGCTGCTGTCAGTTTGTAGGCTGTTGATTCGCAGGACGCTAGCATCTAGGGCAGAGCTACAAGCTCAACTCGGGCTCTGGCATGGGACATGAACTTCTGCAGCCTCTGTTAACTGCTGTGCCAAATCCCGACTCCTCCAGGAACTTCTTAATGGGAAAAACTATGCATAGATTCCTGTCAGTTTCTTCAGATATCCTTTTATTCCCTGTAAAAACTAATAAGTTTGCTTTACAGTATCATGTGGATATAGATAGATACTCCATTGCAGCAATCTTTGTAAAAGATTGAAAATAGACTGACTATCCATTATTAATGGAATGGTTAAATAAAATTATTTTGAGATATTTTAAAGTAATTTTGAGGCAGAATAGTAAACAAAAAGCAAGTTCTAAGAATGTATAATGTGTACCATTGATAAAATGGACACTGTATATGTAATGTATTGAAATTGATCTAAATAATTTTTCAAAATTAATGTTTTTTTAGAAAGTAATATTTGAAAGAAATGCAGATTTTTACTTTGACACTTTGATGTTTACAATAAAATGTATTAGATTTAAATAAACTTTAAACTATTATATGCAGCTGTATTGTACATGAAAACATGTTCATTCTTAAAGAATTTGTAAAGAATTCTCTAAGTAAATTTGAAAGTATCTGGAAGACAATGACGCGGTTAGTACTTCAGGCCCATCCATTGCTATGGAAACCTGAGAAAAGGTGGGACCCGGGGGCTGTTTAAATGATTATTGGTTAAAGTGCATTCAGAAATGAGGAAGAGAAGGAAATTCAATGAAAAAAAATGCTTTTCAGCATCTTTGCCATAAAGGAATCAGACATGATTTGCTAGCTGGCAGAGGAAGCGGGTTAAGCCGCCTAAGGACAGAGCAGCAGTAACGAGGCGGTGGAGAGCGGCGACCTGGAGGCAGCACTGGTGCAGGCGCGAGCTGCAGGGACTCCTTCATAGACCGGGGCAGGTGGCTCACAGCAAGTGATAAACTTGGCAAGCCTATTTTCACATTATCATTCTTTCAAAAATAATAACAATATAGCCATGTTGGTAAATACATAGTAGAATATTTCTGTATTTCTATATCCCACTTCAAAATGCATTTTTTAATTATTAAAATTAAGCAAAAGTGTTGTGCCTCTTTTCAGTCTAGGTTTTTCAGTGTTCACCAGAAAGCTCCCTATGCCAAAAATAAAACAAGTTTCTGCATTTAACCAAACCACTAGCACAAACATGAACTTAAACCAGTAATGGGTGAATTTTGAATATTTCTTAGCTATGTGGGTTTTTTGTTTCTTTTCTTTTCTACAGTTGTTTAATGAACTTGTCCAAGAGCAAGGCCCCAACCTTGACAGGACCTCTGCCCATGTCAGTGGCATTAAGGAACTGGCCCGTCGATTTGCTCTGACATTTGGACTTGACCAGATCAAGACAAGAGAAGCAGTTGCGACACTTCACAAGTGAGTGAAATAAATACTTTATCTTGCACAAAATCTCAATTATTGGACTGAAGTACCTGCTTTTTACACTTTTTCTAAGATGACAAATGATAGAACTTTCAAGTTAAAAAGAGCTTTATCTACTTTAGAGATTCTGAACTAAAGTATAGAAAGGAAAGTTTAATAACAAAATGTTGGAGCAGGCTGTAGGTTTTAAGAGTATGTAGTGTTGATTTGGCCATTTTTGTAACATTGCCAACTACGTAAAAGGAAACCTTAGGTGAACTTGTATAACCAATGTCAGCTCCAAGAAACGAAGTTTGACAATCAAATTGTCTTTCTAAGGTATTACTTACCTCCAGAATACACAAACACATATGCAAACACACACAACAAGTAAGTCAGCTTTGTAGCTGTAGGGTTATTTTTAATTAAATATTCCAGCTTACACTTTTGTACTATACATAATAAATTCACATTAGTCTACCAGTTAATTATCAGATCTTACTATATGTAGTGCTAATTTTACTATTTCACAAATATTCTTATGATTTTACCCCATGGAGAGTACTGTTGTTAACTATGGAAAATACAATGCTATTTTTTTTTTTACTTTAGGGATGGCATCGAATTTGCCTTTAAATATCAGAATCAGAAAGGACAAGAGTACCCACCTCCTAACCTGGCTTTTCTCGAAGTACTGAGTGAATTTTCTTCAAAACTTCTTCGGCAAGACAAAAAGACTGTGTAAGTTACTTGGTGCAAAACAAATGTTTCTATTGCAATACCCAATGTTTGCTTTCGGAAGAATCTTGAATCATCTAGATAGAATTACCCCTTGTGATTTCCGCTTTGATCCGTTTGCAGAGCCCACTGTTCGTTACCTTGGCCTCCGAGAGCAGAGCCGGCGGGGGATAGGTTCTGCTCTCACGTGTGCGCCCTGGCTAAACCAAAACATAACCTTTCTTCCTTTTGTACCAAGTTCATTTTAGTTTTATTTTCTATTTTAGCTGGCTCATTTTAAAAAGATTCAATTTTCCCTCTTTTTTTTTTCCTTTGATAATTGGTAACAGCTCAAAGAAATGTATATGTACAAAAAAATAAGGAAGAAAAAGAAATGTGTGTGTAATTTTCAAATGAAAATTTTGAGTTAATATGTTTATTTAGAAACTTCAGGGGAATGATATTGTAATAAACTCCAAATTATTTATAAATTGATAGGAAGAAAGGTTAGAATACACTAAATAAACGGAAATTTAGAAAAAAATAATGCTTATTAATAAAGATCCTGGTTCTTAAGGAAAGATAATTTTTAAAAAGTTTATTTTTATTGGAAAGGTAGAGTTACAGAGACCCAGAGAGGGATCTTCCATCCGTGAGTCACCCCCCAAATGGCTGCAACAGCCAGAGTTTAGCTGGTCCAGAGCCTGCAACCAGGAGCTTCTTCTGGGTTTCCCATGCGGGTGGAGTGGCCCAAGAACTTGAGCTATCTTTTGAAGCTTTCCTAGGCACCTTAACAGGGAGCTGGATTGGAAGTGGTGCAGCCAGGACTCGAACCAGTGCCCTTACGGGATGCTAGCACCACAGGCTGAGGTGTAACCTCAGGGGAACTCCTGGCTCCTGGCTCCTGGCTTCATATCAGCTCAGCTCCTGCCATTGTAGCCATCTGAGGAGGAAACCAGCAGATGAAAAAAACTATTGCTCTCTCTTTTTCTTTGTAAATCTGCCTTAGCGATTAAAATAAATGAATCTTTTAAAAAAATTCTGACTTTCAAAAAAAAATCAGAGTCATTACATAAATAAAGCAATGAAAATAAAATTATATACTTTTTTGTGTAAGAATAAACACATTGGCAGCGGGGACACAGCCTCAGAAAGTGATGGAATTGAGTCCAGCTCCCTGCTAATGCACACACCCTTGGGGCAGGAGGCGACGGGACAAGGACTTGGGTCCTGCCCACATATGGATCGAATTCCTGACTCCTTGTTTCAGCCTGTTGTTGTGCTTGTTTGTCTGTCTCTAAAATGTTTTAAACTATTCATGTTCAAAAGCAAAAGCCCAACGTGATGGTAAATCCTCACCATGCAAGTGCCAGGATGCCACGTGGGTACCAGTTCATGTCCCGGCAGCCCCGCTTCCCATCCAGCTCCCTGCCTGTGGCCTGGGAAAGCAGTAGAGGACAACCCAAAGCCTTGGGACCCTGCACCTGCGTGGGAGACCCCCAAAGGGGCTCCTGGCTTAATGTTCACTCAGCTCCGGCCACTGTGGCCACTTGGGGAGTGAACCATTGGACAAAAGATCTGTTTCTTTCTGTAAATCTGCTTTTCCAGTAAAAAATAAATAAACCTTCAAAAAATAGTACACACACACATAATTGTAACACACGCTCTTGTTTAAAACTATCCTAGGAATATGGGAAGCAAAATTTTAAACGCTTAGTTCCTTTCTTTCTATGAGCAGTTTAGCCTGCGTCCTTAGAAAAGAGAACCTGTGGGTAAGAATGAGTGATAGGTGGCGTGCTGCTTGTGTGAGACTCAGGCTGTTCTGTTTGTGGTTCTAGTCACTCGTACCTGGAGAAGTTCCTGACCGAGCAGATGATGGAAAGGAGAGAAGATGTTTGGCTTCCACTCATCTCCTACAGAAATTCACTGGTCACTGGTGGTGAGGACGACAGAATGTCGGTCAACAGCGGAAGCAGCAGCAGCAAAACTTCCTCAGTAAGGAACAAGAAAGGACGACCCCCACTTCACAAAAAGCGAGTGGAAGGTGAGTCTGCTTTTGTCCCTGACAGTGCTCGGCCTGATTTTATGTGGTTGGTAAATGGCCGTGTGCTGATGAAGGTTCTGAGACGCACCCTGTCCTTGTCTGCTTGGTACACAATGACGTGTTCCCGCGTCAAGACCAAGGAAAGCAGTGTGCAGTGAGCACGCACAGAGACGGAGATCAGGGGACACGTCTATAAAATTAATTCCCGTGCCATATGCCACTCACACATTAAATTTACAAGAAGATACTCATGATGTTATTCTAGCTAACATAAGCAAAATACTGATAATTCAGGCCTCTGGAACAAATTAGGCCCCAGAATAGCTTTCCTGTTATATCGTTTGGTTGGATGATTTATTGTAGAGTGTGACAGCGATAGCCAGATTTAAGCCTTATAACCATTTGCGCTTCAGGAAAGTGAGTGGAACTGTGAAGAAAATCTGGTTAATAGTATTTCTGCGTACAAAAGAGCGATTTAAAGTGTCTGTGAAAATGAAGCATTGCTCTTTACGTAGGGAGTGAACCAGTAGAAGGTCTCTGTCTTTTAGATAAAATGAAAGTGTTTAAATACCTTTTACCTCAAATGGCCTTTCCCTTTATCCATGCTGCGTCTAGTGACTTGTTTAAAACCAAGAGAGGAGGACGGTGTCGTGGATCTGGCTTTCCTGCACCTGTTGATAATTCACAGAAGGTCAACCTTGACCTTCTCATCTCTACTGCCTGAAGAAGCGATTCATCAAAGATGTCGCTCAAATAGTTGCAAAATTGATGAGAATTTAAATCTAAGGTTTCTTACATTATTGTGGAGGCCATCCTGATTATTAATGAGCACAAACTGTGGACTCAAAGCTCCGGAATTCACACCTGGCTTTCTCATTGAACATTTTCATGACTTTGAACACATTACTTAATCTCTGTAACAAATCACTGAACAAAAATCCTGTTCGTGTCAGAAACGTGAGCTAAAACCCTCGGCACACACGGGTACTGGACACCGTGACTGGCACAGAGATGCGTGCGGTGGCTGTTGGCTGCTGTTTCCAGCACGGAGTCCCCGTTACAGCCACGTCTGTGCACGAGGCAGCATCGAGATCTCAAAGAGAACAAGCGAATAGCAGTGTTAAACAAAATCTTTAAAAAGCTGAAGCCTTCTTTCCTGCTTTTAGTTACGAGAATACTCACTCATTTATTTAGTCAAGAGAATGAAATTTTGAATCATGCCTCTGTACTGTAGGATTCTGGAGTTTTTTCTAAAGATCAGCAAGATCTATTTATTTTTATTGGAAAGGCAGATATACAGAGAGGAGGAGAGACAGAGAGGAAGGTCTTCCGTCCATTGATTCACTCCACAGGTGACCACAGTGGCTGGTGCTGAGCCAGTCCGGAGCCAGGAGCCGGGAACTTCCTCCAGGTCTCCCACGTGGGTGCAGGGTCCCAAAGCCTTGGGCCGTCCTCGACTGCTTTCCCGGGCCACAGGCAGGGAGCTGGATGGGAAGCGGGGCCACTGGGATCAGAACCAGTGCCCATACGGGATCCTGGTGCGTTCAAGGCGAGGGTTTTAACCACCATGCTATCGCACCAGGCCCAGATATAAAATTCTTATTAGCCAAAATTCATCAACCCTTCAGGAATGTATTCAACTAACATTGCCAAAGCACTTAGGTCAGTTCCTGGTACACAGTAAATGCTGTGTCAGTGTTTCAAAACTCAGCGCTGAGTTTAACAGTTACCCATACTTTATAGAGAAGACGTTAGCACTTACAGAATTAGAATCACCATACACAAGGAATCAACAAAAATTACATGAAGTTTTAAAAAAGTATTTTTACTAAAGTAAACGCATTGGACCACCATCTGTGGTGTGGGCATCCTGTATGGGTGCCAGTTCTAGTCCTGGCTGCTTTACTTCCAGTTCAGCTCCCAACTGATTCACCTGGGAAAACAGCTGGGGCCCCCGCACCCACATGGGAGACCTGGAAGAAGTTCCTGGCTGTGGCCTGAGCCAGCCTGCCATGCCAGCCATTTGGGGAGTGAGCCAGTGGTTTGAGGACTTCTCTCCCTCTCCTCTCTCTCTCTCCCCCTCCCTCCCTCTCTCCCTCCCCCACTTCTCTCACTCCTTTCCCCCCTCCCTCCCCCTCCCTCTTTCCTTCTGCCTTCCGAATAAATGAATCTTTACCTGAAATAAAATGAAACATAGCTTTTAATTCCATTTTTTCCAAAAACTTTAAAAAAAAACTCCCTCATATAATTCACTACTGAAATAGTACCTTCTGCAAGACTGGAAAGGGCATATGTGAGCCAGACCGCCTCGTCTGAGCATTCGGAGATTGGGACGGTTTTCTTGCTGTCCATTATTTATTTGAAAGACTGAGTTAGCGAGAGCACCATCCACTGGTCACAGTGACCAGGAGCATATCCCACGTGGGTGCAGGGAACGAGCCTTTGGGCCATCGTCTGCTTTCCCAGTGCATTAGCAGGGGGCTAGATTGCAAGTGGGACACCAGGGTATGAAGTGGTGCCCATATGGGATGCTAGCACAGCAAATGGTGGCTTAACTTACTGTACCACAGCACTGGCCCAGAATGAAAAACTTTTTTACAAGTTTTGGCTGTGGAGCTTGGTACAGTAGCTTAGCAGCTAAAGTCCTTGTTTACACGAGCCAGGATCGCATATGGGCACCGGTTCTAATTCCGGCTGCTCCACTTCCCATCCAGCTCCCTGCCTGTGGCCTGGGAAAGCAGAGGAGGACGGCCCAAAGCCTTGGGACCCTGCACCCGCGTGGGAGACCCAGAAGAGGCTCCTGGCTTCAGAATGGCCTAGCACCGGCTGTTGTGGCCACTTGGGGAGTGAATTAATGGACGGAAGATTTTCCTCTCTGTCTCCTCCTATCTGTATAACTGACTTTCCAAACAAAATAAAATAAACTTTAAAGTTTTAGCTGGGATTGTGACATAGAGGATTAAACTGCTGCTTGCAGTACCGGCATCCCATGCCAGCTCGATTCGAGTCCAGCTGGCTGGCTGACTGAGCCAGTTACTCTGCGCTGTGCCTGCTAGGGAGTGGAGCGTGGTGGCACTCATGAGGGAGACCAAGATGAAGTTTCTGGCTCCTGTCTTCCACCTAGTCCAGCCCTGGTCAGTGCAGCTATTCAGGGAGTAAAGCAGGTGGGAGATGAATTGTCACTCTTTCAAATATATATATATATAAATAAATTTTGTTAATATTTGTAAAGATTTGTTCATTTTTGTTGGAAAGTCAGATTTACAGAAAGGAGAGAGACACAAAGATCTGTCCATGGTTCACTTCCCAGGTGGCTGCAACAGCTGGAGCTGATTGGATCTGAAGCCAGGGGCTTCTTCGGGTCTCCCATGCAGGTGCAGAGTCCCAAGGCTTTGGGCCGTCCTTGACTTCTCTCCCAGGCAGGAAGTAGGGCTGCCAGGATTAGAACTGGCGCCTATAAGGGATCCCAGTAAACGCAAGGAAAGGAAATTTAGCCACTAGGCTACTGTGCTGGGCCCACAAATACTTTAAAGATTTAGAATTTTGATATGTATAGATTTTGTAACTTATGCAGTATTTTACAGGATGCTTAATCTTGTGGATGTTTATCAATGATCTTAAAAAGGAAAGTGAAAGTTTCTGGTCCCTTGAAAACATAATTAATATAATTCTAGAAATCACACACATGGCAAATCACCTTTGAACACAGGTGTGATGTAGCTGCACTCTGGATGAGCAGGAGTGGTTCTGCAGCGGGACTTCAGAAAGTTACTATGGAGATTGAGTTCATGCACTTGCTGAAGTCCGCCCACATTTCTTCTAGAAGTGAAAATGGTAGGGTTGGGTGGGCTGACTGAGACTTCCCCGAAGGACTCAGAGTAAAGTCACGCTCGGGGACCGTGTCGAGATGTTCCACAGACCAGCTGCACACAGAATGCTGCGTGGGGTCCCTGGGACCTCCCGGACGTAGGTGTTCATTGCTTGTGCAGCAGAAGTTTGGCAGTCTGGCCCCATTTTCCCTTCTATCAAAGATGAAGAGACTTTGAGGAGAGGATAATAGCCAGCATTTGGTGGTTAAGCATATTACTTCGTTGACTATCCTGTAAGGTAAGGCACTGATTTTCCCAAGCTTCTCGGGAGCGAGCAGGACTTCACGAAGTTACTCACGTGAATGACTGAACTGGGATTCAAACAGGGCAGTCCAGCAGCAAAGCCCGACCCGTAGGTCACTGCGTGTCAGTCCTCCGCCCGTGACATTGTGTGTTTAACTGGAATCTTACAGATGAGACTCTGGAGAGCACGTGGCTAAACAGGACTGACACCATGATTCAGACGCCCGGCCCCCTGCCAGCACCCCAGCTCACGTCCACCGTGCTGCGGGAGAACAACAGGCCGATGGCAGAGCAGATCCAGGAGCCCGAGTCGGAGCATGGCTCGGAGCCCGACTTCTTACACAAGTAAGTAGCAGAAATGGGTTTTCTTGGCGTAAAACCCTTAGCTTTATCTGTTTATCAAACCATATTGTTGGTCAATTTGTGAGAAAACAAAGCCACAAATAGAACTGGGTTACAGGAGAAAATGTTTGAAAAGTCTGCAGATACTGTGTAGTGGAGGTTAGTTCTTCAAAGTTTACAGACTGTTGTGTGTGGTGTTCTAAGTGCTAGCTTCGTTGCTATTTGAGTATAAATTGGCTAGGCCTGTCTCTTTCCAAAGAATCGCCAGGAAGATAAGGGGCTCCTTTTAGCAAAAGAACCTGCAAGAGCTCAGATCCTGACTTTTCATCAGTCATCTTTTAAGTGTCTGCCTTTGTTCAAATCTGAGAGTGCTCGCCGTCCACCATGGCGTGGCTGCGTGGTCTCACAGGAGCGGGGGCTTGCCTTTGGACTAGTATCAGAAATAGGAGGCCGCCCCAGCATCCTACTCCTTTTTCTACAGAATGCTCACTACTTGAGCGATTTGTCCTACCTCCTGACCTTGGTATTTTTCAGTCCCATTTAGCCCAGACCTGTCTTCCCTGTTCGGGTGTATAGATCTGATGAAGGTCTGGGCAGTAGGTTTTACATGCTAACTTCCACTAAAGACTACATCACATAAAGCTTCAAGAAGCATGTTTAGGCATGTTCCCACTTGCCTCTAAGTTTAAAGATTTGAATGACAATGTTTTAACCCTTCCTGTTCAACTCTGGAGAGCTTTTCTTATCAGACATGCTGTCCAGACAGTTCACTTCTGAGTTGGGCAGTACCCCAAGATGAGGGTCTGAGAGGCGCCCAACTGGCAAGAGACTTAGGGGAGGGGATGAGACCGATGGTTGATTTGTCATTTAGCAACCAACCCGTGCTGGCCTCTGATACTTAGTTGTCTATTTGAGCAACTTACTGGCTGTTTTACAAGGGCACTGGAGTAAGTCGGCTAATTCGACAGTTGGGTATTAAGTCAGCCAATTTAAACTTTGTTAGCATGACACTCATAAGCTAGATTCTTCCTCTGCTGTCACAGCGTGAGTAATAACGCCCTCTCTTAGTCCTCAGATGCAGATCTCTTGGTTAGGCCAGCCGAAATTAGAAGACTTAAATCGGAAGGACAGAACAGGAATGAACTACATGAAAGTGAGAACTGGAGTAAGGCATGCTGTGTAAGTGTTACATTGTGTATGGTGACTAAGCTCTCTGATGTTTAGTCTCTTGGGAGTTAAAAGTTATAATTCTGCACGCAACAGGCTAGCAAGGGTCCTGAGGCTTTCAGCATTGCGCATGCTCCCCCGGCCACTGCCAGAAGCTGCATGGCCAACTCCAAAACAGCTGTCCCCTCAGGGTCCTCATCTGTAATATTGGGGTAACAAGGCCAAAAAGAATTCTGTGTATGGACACTTAGCTACATACATGTTATATTTGCAAAAGTGAATGTTTCTTTGCTTAACTGTACTTAAGATAATTTGAGATGAAATCTGAGTGAATTGAAGGAATGACTGTTACTTATCTTGTGCAGTATTATAATTGTGTGGCCTGTACGTCATAATTAGAAGGTCTGACTCACTGGTTAGAAGCACTGACTAGGGAAGAGCTCCTGGCACAGGAGCCCGAGCAGCTGCTTTGACCGCATGCTTGTCTCACAGCCGCATGCTTGTCTCACAGCCGGGGTCTCATGGAGGAGGACGCCGAGCCCATCTTCGAAGACGTGATGATGTCATCCCGGAGCCAGTTAGAAGATATGAATGAAGAATTTGAAGATACCATGGTCATTGATCTGGTAAAGACATTCATTGCACTTTCACTCACTTTAAATATGTGAGGTATCTGTGGAAGGGGGGGGAGCACTGACCAGCAGCGGGCAGCAGGGGAGCCTTCAAAAAGGGCATGTTTTAACTCTAAATAAGAAATGCTACTTCCCTTTTACTTTCTCTGAAAAAAACTTAGACCAAATTTGTCTTTCAGCATAGTGCACTTTAGAGTCTGCCAGCATACACTGTGCTCCAAGGTAACAACCACACACAGAACAGGAACCTTGTATATAAAGACAGGTTTCCAGTTTTTAAAATATGTAGACTGGGCTGTAAGTAAATTATTTTTAAGGAGGAAATGTGATCGGGGGAAGATAGACACCCCCTGGGAGATCCTGGGTTCGGTTCCTGACTGCAGCTCTCAAGTGCCGCTGCTTTGGAGAGCACCTTGGGGAAGGCAGCCGCGGCACGTGGGAGATCTGGAGGAGTTTCCGAATCCTGGCTCAGCGCCAGCCGGGCCCATCATGGGTGTTTAGGGAACGAAGCACAAGACGAGAGCCATCTCGCTCGTTACCTCTTCAGAAGCGTTGTTTTGTTTTTTAAGAAAAGTAATGCATTGTTGTTAGGGTTTTTTTAACTTTTTATTTAGTTTTTACCTGAGAAAGATACATCTTGCATGCACTGGTTCTCTCTGGGAGCCTGAGGCAGCAGGGCTGGGCTGGTCAAAGCCCCAGAACTCAGGCAACCTGGAAACGCTGGCATTGAGGGGATCTGATGCAGCGCCTAGCACTGCTTCGTAGGTTTCGAAATTCCACTGATCACACTCTTTGTCAGAAGTACAGATGAGGGCTCGCTGCTCTGATCTGTAACTCCTGACCTCACCCCGCTAATCCCTCCCGCCTCGGGGAGACAGTGAGGTCTCACCGAGAACGGGCAGTGTTGCAACTGTCCTGTTAAGAAGCCCAAAACTTCTGAGCGTTTAGTACTCAGTTTATTCTCAGAATTTGAAAGACCCTTTTCTCTATATATAACAAAATTAGTTGGCTTCATAGGAAAGCCAAGTTATCTCTTCCATTTAAAGTTAACCCTTACCTTACTTCAGTGTGTTTGACACTGTTGGAGAGATTAATTGGCATGATGCAGAGTAACTTATTTCTCTTTCTAGCCCCCATCAAGAAACCGGCGAGAGCGAGCGGAGCTGAGGCCAGACTTCTTTGACTCTGCAGCTATCATAGAAGACGATTCAGTAAATGCAACCACTGCTCTTTTTCATTGTTTCTGCATCCTGTTTATGCATGACATTAATAATTTTGTTTCTCATTTTTCTAGGGATTTGGAATGCCTATGTTCTGAAGTCTGAAGAAAATTTACCAATCTGGAACTCTATTGTTAGAGCTAGAGGCCTATATACTGTGATAGCTTGTATGGGGGAAAAACACTTTTGGTGTGATCTGATTGTTTTCATCAAATGAGTAAGGTCAGTCCCTTTGCAGTGACAGAAGAGGAACATGTACGCCAGCCACGAGCACGCTGGAGCGTGTCACCTCGGGAGGCTGACCTGAGAGAGGGTGTGGGTCGCAGCGGTAGACCCAGCCCATAGAGATGTGTTTTTCTGGAGGGAGGAAGAAATTTTAAATTTTTAAAACAGCTGTCAAGATAATTACACTGTTATACACCTGTTTTATGAAAACTCAGCATTGAGTAAAAAAAATATTTTTAACTTTATTTTCCTGTTGTACAATTTAAAAACTGTTTTAACATTTTGCCTTTTTATGTTTTAAAAGCTAACCATTTTTATTAAACCTATGAGTAAGCAGCTCATCCTAACTGCAGAGTGTGTTGGAGCTCACTGGCTCTGGGCGGCCTCGTGCCTCACAGGTGCGGAGGAAGCACCGACGAGCTGCGAGATGTGATCGCGTGCGTATCTGCCAAAAACCACACCCCTCTGGATACGGATCCCCGGGTTTTATACTCTTGAATAAAAAGGTTTATTTTTATTTATAAGTGGACATAAGTGTCCATGCAGCCATTTTCCAACAGATGCTGTACACTGTTCATTTTATATAGAATAGGGAGATTCAGATACAGTGCATTTTCTATTGGTATTTGTTCTGTGCATTTTTAGCAACTTCTACCAGCAAATAAAGTATTCTCAGTAAAACAAAAATGGTTCTCCAGTTATCAGTTTGCTGTTTTACCACCTGTTTCATGCCCTGCCAAATTCCAACTATATAGACTTGCGTTTTCTTACAAAGATAATCATGAATTCTTTGCCATTTGATAGTAATTTTAAGTGTAACATAACTGTGTCTACTTCCCTTGCATTTAATGTCCTTATCCACTACTTTTGCGAATTAAGTTTATCAGTTATTTCTGTGCTACATAGAAGTCTGTCCTTAGAGGGTGCAGCTCCCAAGCTCACCTTAAGACACTGCGACATTTCCGTGTTAATGAGAAGTCGTCTTTGGAGGAAGCATCTTCATGACCGTCTGGTGGCTCAGCATCGCACTCCGCTTCGGCGCTCCCGACCTGCACAGGTCCCTGCGGCCTGAGCAGTTTCTCCCGTTCTGCTGTTTTGGAGGAAGCCTCAGACTGCACAGCAGTGCATCCACAGCTGATTCTAGGCTGGTTTTTAAAATAACTGCAAACAATCATGAGGCTTTCCTTTTTACTAAAACTGAAAAACATCTTTTTAAATTCTGGTGCACCCGTGATTATCTTTTGTGTAGAAAAGGCAAATAGATGATTTTATCATCCTTTTAGTAAACAGGCACAAAACATTTTACTCAAAATTTGTACAATTCTTTCTGAAAAAAAACTTGGTCGCTAAAAATGTTTTATGTGCTCTCAGTAATTCCTAGGATCCAGTTAGGGGAGTAGGAGGTCTCATCTCTCCCAGTAACGTGGGCTTCACTGTTGTGAGGGGCAAGGAACGCGGGACTGTCCATCCCAGCCCTGTCTGCCTGTGGCCCTGGCGGGGCAGCAGCCCTGAGGAGCCATGCGCGGCAGCTCGGCCCTCTGACAGTCTGTGAAAACCAGTGTTGACTTAGAATCACAGACTACCAGGCAACAGCAGCAAAGGCCTAATAGTACTCCAGTGGGTTTCCAGTTCAGTCTGAAGTCAGATTTTGTATTTTCAGTGTCTCCTTGATTGGTTTTGCTAGTAATTCTGTAAATTGTACATTTGCAATATGAGGTTTTTTTTTTTTTCCTTTTGTACAATTTGAAACTGATGCTTCATGTTTCCTTTAATAAACTATTCAAACTCAGGCCTGTGGTGATCATCCTATTGTTCCTGCTAGGGAAGGCTCGAAGGAGACCGCTGCCTCAGCTTGCTCTTTCAGATCATTTCTTACATGATGGCAAGATCGCCCTAGAGATGCTTGTTTTTTACAAAAGAAATTGAGAATTAGCTCACTAGTTTTCGTTCCTTGGCCTTCCCAGGAAAGAATGGAGTAATCCAGATTATGTATAGTTTTGAAGGGAGTCTCTTAGAGTCTAAGTTTAGATGAAGCAAAGATCATGTGCCTATAGATGGAGCGAATCCTTCCCCTGCATGAGGTCCAGACTACGGGCTGACGCGTGGCTGTCCCCCGGTGAACCTCTGAACTCACACCCCGACGCCTCACGGGCTTTGCCGTGTTGCTTGGGCTGAGTGCATAATAATGATCTAAGAAACCTACACTGCAAAGACGGGGATCATGGAAGATAAGTCCGCATCCGAGAGGACGAAGCTGATGAGAACCAAGGTGGGCGCTCAGCTTTGTTACAAGCTGATAAGACTTGTCCAGGGCTCCCTCCATGGGTGGCTTGGGGACAGGCTACAGATCTGAGCTGCGACTGGACTGTGACTACATTTGGTTCTACTCCCAGAAAGAGTCCATCAATCAGCAAGAATGTCTTCAAGGGAAACAGTTGTGCTGCTTCTGAACTCTCTACCGGGCACCACTGTTCAAGAGCATCCTGCTGCTGCCCAGGACTGGACACTGCAGGGATGTGCCTGTGGACTGAAGGCCCAGATGAAGGCACTGCCCGTAAGTGGTCATAGCTCCTGCTCAGGATAGTAGGGGTTCCATGCTGACATCAGAAGCTGTAAGTATGAGAACCAGTAGTTCTTGCTAAAACCACAGCTCCTCAGAAATCCTTTGCAATCATCATAGCTCAGACAGGTGGGAGTCTGCCAGCTAGACGGCAGGAGTGGTGAGCTGGCGTGGACATGTCCTGCACAGGCATCTGTCCCTTGGCCAACAGCACCAGAGTAGACTGGGGCTGGGGAAACGAAGACATGATCAGAAGTGAAGCTGCAAGAATCTTTCACAGTAAAAGTGCTTTCTGAAAGGCACTGGAAGGATGCGCACTGGCAAAATGGCCGTTTGTCTGCTACCTAGTTGACTCATGCATGAGGTAGGAAAGTTTTTCAAATTTAGTGCCCTATTTAACTTCTTTTATAACAGACCACCACCTCTCTGACCTCCCTCTTATCCCATCCTTATAAATTCATCCCACTGCCTCATCAGTTGAGTGACAGTTTGAATATTAACAGTCTGATGGCAACCTTCATCGTTTTCCTTCTCCCTTTAAGGTGAGTGTGCCACTTGGAAACCACAGCCCTGCACAGCAACAGTGAGGATCCTGCCTCCATTCTCGGGCATGCTGAGGTCAGCCCCGACAGGCTCCCAGCACGCTTTGGCCAGGTGAGTTTCTAGGTCCCCCCCACGACTCAAGGCTTCCTCGATGCCTCTAACCCAGGTGTTTCCCTGGGTTGTTTCCTCTACAACATTGCAGCAGTTTCAGATATAAGCCTCTAACTCCCAGACTTCAGCGCCTGGTAAAATACTTCTTAGACTCTTAAAACATAACAAATTCTTTTAAAATGTGTACCTTGTGTGGACCCGAGCAGGGTCCAGATCTTCTCAGCTGCTGTCGGAAAGTGGGTTGATCAGGCATTCTTGAGCTGCTGTGCCATGGGAAGACCACAGTCGTCCTCCAGAGTCCCGTGAGCCTGTCATAACCCTGTCTCCAAGTTCCAACGGCTTACAGCATTTCTGATGCATTTGCGACAGGTGCCAAGGAAGAACAGAAAAACCTTCGGACAGCACAGTCGCGGCCACTGGCAGCTGACTTCTTACAACGATAAGAAAAATATACAAGGCAAAACCCAAAGCACAACCATGTGTTTTCTAAAAAACCAGATTGCTGCAGAAGTACGCAGAAGCTGGCAGTGAGGAAGGAGGTAAGACGCTTTAACCAGATAATAAATCCTAAGAGCTGCCAGGAATGGGGGAGTGTAAGATAAAAGTGATGCAGTGTAGAAGCAGTCCAAGGCCTCACCCACTGACGTGTCTGCAGCAGGGAGAAGACCTTGGGCTTCAGCACAGAGCAGCACTCCACTGGGTTGTAAACAGTCAATACAGGTGGAGAGAGACACGTCCCTTACACAGGAGTCAAGTTCGTAGAACTGTTCAGCAATCCAAGCAACGTAACCATGTGTAAAGACAAGAACTGGGGCAAGTGCAATGGGTCAGCCGGCATACCATGTGTGTGCCAGTTTGTATCCCAGCTCCCTGCTTGTGGCCTGGGAAAGCAGCAGAGGACAGCACAAAGCCTGGGGAACCTTAGAAGACTCAGAAGAAGCTCCTAGCTCCTGGTTTTGGATAGGCCCAGTTCTGGCTGTTGCCGTTTGAGAGTGAACAAATAGAAATATTTATGTCACTCCTCTCTGTAGATCTTCTTTCCAATAGAAATAGATCTTTTTAAAAACATTCGGAATTCTAGGTGCAGGTTGAAGGTGGCTGGGTTTGGCGAGTGGTCTTAGCAGTCAGGATATGGTGTTCTGAGCAACAAGGACCAAGCTGGGAACTCGTTTCTTTCTGAGCAGCCATGGCTCTCCACCACCCCACGGCCGTGGGCCTCAGCAAGGGCCATGAGCTGAGCAGAGATGGGAGCAAGCTGAGGCACCTGACCAAGCACACCCAGCTCGTGTGGGACATGACCAAGAGGCGTGCAGCTCTGCCTCCTACAGCACCACACCTTGGGGCTGCCCAGGGTCACTCACATTCATCAGGAGGAGGATGGGCACACACATCCAGATGAACCAGGAGGAGCTGAGCAGTGTGCTGGCAGCCATGAGGAAGGCAAGAGCCAGGAGGGACTGACTGCCCGCATGCCTGCCCTTTGCAGGAAACCTCTGGGCTCTCAAAAAAGGCTTGAAACAAGATTTAGCATTGATTAGTTATAATTCTAAAAATCGTATGATTGAGCAGATAACTAAAATAAGTCACACATAATGGGAAGTATATTAAAGTTTTTTTTCACCAAAAAAAATTTTCTTAGATTTACCTAGTTATTTGAAAGGCAGAGCAAAAGATGCACATCTTCTAGTGACTGTTTCATTCCCTGAACAGCCAGGCCAGGTCGGAGCCAGGAGCTCAGCTAGGTCTTCGTCAAGGGTGGCCCAGGTCCTTGAGCCATCATCTGCTGCTTGCTCGGGGACATCAGCAGGAAGCAGCCACCACTCCAGCGAGCACACACATGTGACATTAGCATCACAAGCAGAAACTCAGACTAGCTAAACCAACTGTACTACAAAGCCAACCCCAAATTTCTAATTCCATTTTCCCATGAATTTTTTGGAGTATTGTGTGTATATCATCTGTACTTCAATCCTTCCCACCTACTGAAAATGTAGCAGCAGTGACACTGCAATGGCAATGTGAATACCACCAACTTTATATTCCTGCTAAAAAGAGGAAGCTAACCTTGGAAAAACTGCTTGCAGGGCTGGGAGATGTCAGGATGAACCTGGAATACAAAAGTAAAAAATGACAGAGAAACATTTTTTGTCTAGCAGGTTCACTCCCAAAATGGTTGCAACGGCTAGAACTGAGCAGATCTGGAGCCAGGAGCCTTTTCTGGGTCTCCCATGTGGGAGCAGGCTGCCAAGGCTTTGGGCCGTCCTCGACTGCCTTCCCAGGCCACACGCAGAGAAATGGATGGGAAGTGGAGAAGCCACACACGAACTGGCACCTTTATGGGATGTTGGCACTCACAGTTTGAGGATTAACCAACTGAACCATCATGTTGGCCCCAGAATCCTACCCTTTGTCAGGAATGTAAATTATTGGAACATGTGAAAAGGACCTAGGAAAACAACCGGAAGAAGTCTCCACCAGCCCTTGATGCATGAAACATGCATCAAAATGAAACCACATGAAACATGGAGGCATCCATGAGTCCACGCCGATACTGAGAAAATCAGGAGCGAAGGCTTGTCCTTACTAGAGGTACAATTGCTAAATGGAGCTCTAATGACACGGCTACAATCACAGGTTGAGGCAAGAATTATCAGTGAGTATTAAACATCAATGTAAGTTTGCTGATAGGATTAAAGATTTCCCTATAAATTAGTTACTCATTACAAAGGGAAATGGTAACAGCGATATACCCCCCCCCCCAAAAAAAAAAGCTTTACAGTCAGCACATTGCACATGTGACAAAGCCAGTAAGCCAGTGGCCACACGTGCTGGGTGACAGTACCCCAGTGGGAAACACCCAGAGAAGCCGGAAAGCTCATGAAAGAGCAGAGACAGGCACTGTTCCTGCAGGGTGGCGGAGAAGGTCACAGTTCTGCCATTTGCTCTGAAATGTCAACAAAAGTAAGTTTGTGAACCACATGAAGTAAGTGTGAACTACAGAGTCTATGTGCGGGGATGCAACACGCTCTTAGAGCATTTCTATTCACCTGGAAATTTTCGTGTTAGGTTTTTTTGAATGTGAAAACACATTCTGAAAACATCAGAAGGTAATCTGGGATGCCACTTCTTAAGCATCTGTTCCAGACACACAGACTACATTAGAAACCTCTTATTTAATCCTCAGCAGTCATGGTGAAGTTATGAGACAAGGCTCACTACGTTATCCCTGGCTGCAAAGGAAACTGAAGCCTAAAAACTCCTCAGAAAACTTCCTCTCCCAGCCCTGGGTAAAAAGTAAGTACTGGAAGGAAAAAAACCAATATGCAGAGTTCCATGGGTCACCTGTAGCTTAGACCACTACCTACTGTTCTACTCCAAAAAATGTATACTCAACAATACCAACTGATATTTTTAATAAAGCAAACAATTTTACAGCCAGGCACCAAAGAAATGTTTTTAGAATGTATGGCCTTAGCCATTCCAGGTCATTACCAGTATTGTAAGAGTCCCAGGTTCCATGATTGCACAGGGTAGGATGGGTATGTGAATGGTAGGCAGTAATTTAGTTCTTGCTTCATTCATGACTTGTTCACAAAGGAATATTTGCATGTTTCCTCCAAGGACGATGCACCTTCTTGCTGACCAAGACATCCAGATCACAGCAGATTCGGGCACGGGTGGCAGAAGGTTGGATGATGTCATCCACGAACCCTGGTGAAGCACAAAAGAAAAGCTGTCGTCCGCTGACCCCTCCACCCTGCAGTGTGCCCGGCCTGGGCGCCATCCCTGAAGCTCCGAGTGTAAGCTGGTGCTAACCTAACAGAGAGGCTCTGAACGCTGCCCTCCATCCCATAGCAGTGACTGTTGGAAAATCCTCATCTCACCCACGAGTATGTGGCAGGTAAACAAATGTGACAGACACACCGATGCTCTAATGCATCTCCCTGACAAAAAAAAGTTTAATAGAAAATAGACCTGGGGCTAAAGTGCTTACCTTGCAGGCACCGGGACCCCATATGGATGCCAGTTTTGTTCCAGCTCCCTGCTTGCAGCCTGGGAAGGCAGTGGAGGACGGCCCAAAGCCTTGGGACCCTGCACCTGCATGGGTGACCTGGAAGAAGCTGGCTTCGGATTGGCTCAGCTCTGGCTGTTGCGGCCATTTGGGGAATGAACCAGCAAAAAGATCTTTGCCTTTCCTCTCTGTATAAATCTGACTTTCCAATAAAAAGTCCTAAATAAATAAGTAGACTGGTCTGTCTTCAAGAAGGGGCCATGACAACTCCCATTCCTTCCCCAAATGGATTCCCCCATCATCAGCAGGTGGCTTTTTTTCCCCTCAATTGGCCTTGTAACTTGCTTTGGCCAATAAAATGTGGCAAAAGTGACACTGTACGAGTTAACCTAGGCTTCAGGGGGCTCAGAGCTTCCCTTGGGACATGATGTACAGATGCCCAGGCCAGTGGCCTTAGGGATAGCAGCCAGTAAGTGGTGCCACCTTTGTTCAGGACCCAGGCAAGTCACAGGATGGCTGCAGCTGTGTTGAGTGATCCCAGGTAAGACCAGCAAAATAACTACTGAGCTCAGCTCAGACCAAATTACTGATCCACAGAACCACAAATGGAGAACGAGTGGGTGACTGAAGCCCCTGGATTGTGTGGTAGATTCCTACACACTAGAGAACTGAGTGAATCCTTTCAGCCACTCTGGCTGAAGTTGCCAAAGCTGTCTATGTAGCTCCCATCGTATCTGAGGAATGACTGCGCAAGGACAGTCTCACCAGCAGATGAGAAGACAGGGCTGGCATGTGAGACTGGAGAGAGCAGCAGCAGGTGACAAATGGACAAAACACCCCTTCCATAGGCAGCCCCTACCTCTCACTGCTGCAGGGAAAGGATTGGCAAACTTGTCGATGTACTCGGCCTGAGCAGCCTCCACATTCTCATGTCCTTTGAAGATGATCTCCACTGCTCCCTGTCAGGAGAGGAGTTGATGAGTTTTACTCAAACCAGAGAGAACTCTTCAATGCATTATCACTAGAAACTTCACTATACTGGAGAAAGTGCTAGCTTCAAAGGTTCAAGCAGTGACCCAGACTCCAGGGGCTGCCAGACATCCTGCTCAATTGTAGCCTCCAGGAGGGCAGGCCAGGCAAACTCAATAGTTTTGAGATAGATTCCATCCTGCCCTCACCATTTACAGTCATTCTTCCTCACAGCCAAATCGTTTAGTCTATTTCCTGCATAGTCTGTCTTCCTTGTTTGGTATCCTAGATCCAGAAAACAGAGTTCAGTTGCCACAGGAGGCCAGATTAAACTAAAAAATACCAAAGAATTGGCCTTAGAGTCAGAACTCCTGTAAGACAAGCTTAGAAACCCTGGTAGGTACTTGGTTCAACCCCCATGGTTATTTCAGATGAGAGGAGTGGGGAACAGGACAAACAACAGGACTTACCTTGCTCACAGTCACTAGGGCTGGAGCTACAGCTCAGCTTCTTGGGGGCTGAGAAAACTAGCCTGGGGCCTTCAGTGGGGCTGGGCTAGGAGGGACATTTAACTTTCCCAGGGTTTTTTCAGCTAACTGAATCTTCTAACTTAGAATCTCAGTGGCCACACTGGGCCCCTGTCACTTTCCATTCTTCTCACCTGTTGCACTTAACCCTGGCATGAAGACAGCAGCATGTACCTGAAGAGTGTAGGAGAGGAGGCAGAAAAGGCCTTGGAGTCCCAGAAGGAAGACTTGACAAGATCTAACCCTCACTCCCTTAAGTCATGGCTGACAGAAAGGACCCCAACCTCTATCAAGTCCCAGGTGGGTTCTGATCTCCTCTGAGGGGAGCACAGTCCTCAGAGCCAGGAAAGCAGAAAGCTACAGCTCCTTACCTTGGCTCCCATCACTGCAATCTCTGCTGTGGGCCAGGCGTAGTTGGTATCACCGCAAAGGTGTTTAGAGCTCATGACATCATAAGCACCTCCGTAAGCCTAGAACATACCCAAATGCTGAACATTAGCACCTGTGACAACCCGGTCATGACTCTGAAAGACCCAGGAGGCCAGGGGAAAGTGGGCCTAAGAACAGCTCTCCTGGGCTCCGCAAGGCCTTTCACAGTTCATTCATTGTCCCTTCTAGTCTTCTCATGCTGTAAAAGGCCACATGGGGCTGCCTGCCACTGTGTTCCAACCACCAACATTCCATAATGGAGTGTCAGTTGGAGTTTTGGCTGTTCCACTTCTGGTCAACTCCTAACGCACCTAGGAAAGCAGGAGAAACAGCTCAAGAGCTTGTGCTCCTGCCATGTAGGTGGGAGACCTGGGTGAACTTCCAGGGTCCTGATACTAGTCTGGACCAGCCCCAGCCACGGAGGCCATGGAGGCCATTTAGGGAATGGCCCAGCAGGTGCAAGATGGCCTTGTCACTGTGCTTCAAATACATAAAATGCATCTTTAAACACACACCTCTGCAGAGCAAGTCTACAAGATTAAAAATGCTGTCGTCAAGATTTTAAGTTGACCAAGTTGTACTCCTTCAAGTCCTGTGAAACTCTTGGTCAAACCTCCCACCAGGCCATGCTGCTAAGAAGAGGACTGGGGGTCACAGCCAGTCATGTGAGGGCCTCACCTTCCTGGTAATGACCGTGACCTTGGGCACAGTTGCCTCAGCAAATGCGTAGAGAAGCTTGGCGCCATGCCGGATGATGCCCCCGTATTCCTGGGCTGTGCCTAGGTCACAAGGGAGAGTGAACAGATAACCACAGACACATTTGCAAAGGTCGCCTGCCACCATGAGCTGTGAAGAATGCAGGTCATCTCTTACTCAGCTGTATCTTCTGAACACCCAGGATATGCACAGCTGCAAATCCTTAAAGAATTTTCCAGAATCTCCCAAAGTGTGCCTTGCTCAGCAGAAGCACTCTCCTAACCTCCACCGCTCTGACTTACCAGGCAGAAATCCGGGAACATCAACGAAAGTGATGAGTGGAATGTTGAACGCATCACAGAATCTGACAAAGCGAGCCCCTTTCACGGACGAATTAATATCCAGGCATCCTAGAAAAAGATTATCCATGGTAAACTTCCAGGAAGTTCTGGCCCGCTCCAACCACTATAGGAATGATGTTCCAGACAACCAGCCACCCAGACCTGCTGCTTGTGGAGGCTGTGTGGTCTTCCCATTTCAGAGCAGTAATCCAGGCAAACGGGGGTTGACACAGACCAGAGCCCAAGAGCTGAGCTCTACCACGCACATGAGGGCTGCCTCCAGTGTCAGAGTGGGAGCAGCAGTGTAAGGTACCCCTCTGGAGCGAGACTCGGAGCGCAAGCAGGTTACACTCAGACTAACACTGTGCCCTTAAGAATCTGCATGTGAGGAACCTGAGCTGAGAAAGCCAAGTCAGGACACTACTATCCTAGCATAGCTGAGGTTTAAAGGAGACTTGTAAAATCTCACGAAGAGTTCAATGATTAATAAATCTCCCCTCCTACAAGAATAAGATAAGGATATTAGAAAAGAACATGAGCCCAGCGCAGTAGCTCAGCGGCTAAAGTCCCCACCTTGCATGTGCCAGGATCCTGTACGGGCGCCGGCTCCACTTCCCATCCAGCTCCCTGCTTGTGGCCTGGGAAAACAGTCAAGGACAATCCAAAGCTTTGGGATCCTGTACATATGTGGGAGACCTGGAAGAGGCTCCTGGCTTTGGATTGGCTCAGCTCCGGCCATCAGTAAGAAGCTGGGTAGGAAGTGGAGCAGCCAGGACACAAACTAGTTCGCTACATGGAATGCCAGTGTAGTCTTCAATGAAAAACGAAAAATTGAGTGGGCATTCATTATCACAAACTAGCAGCAGGAGCAGACATGTGGCACCATCTGAAACAGTAGCATCCCATACCAGTGTACCAGTGACTGGGTTCAATTCTCATCTCTGCTTCCAGCCCCAGTTCCTGTTAACGTGCCTCCTGGCAGGCTGTAGGCAGTGGCCCAGCCACTCACATGGGAAAGCCCAGTCCAGGCCCTCAATGCTGATTTCAGCCTGGCCCAGCACTGGCTGTTTTAGGTATTTGGATAATAAGCCATTAAATGGAAGAACTCTGTCCTTGTCTTTCAAGTAAACCATGCAAATAAAACAAATGTTTTATTTGTAAAAACGCAGGAAACGAGCAACAGGATGGAACTTCAACAATTTGATAGAACATTTATTTACACATAAAATAAATAAAAGAATACCTACTGTTAGAATATTCACTCTTCCTAAATTGACCAATAGAAATGTTGCAGCTAACGGAAACGTTCTCTGACTACTGCTCCAGTGTGGGCCACGAGTCCTCTGCGGCTATTGGGTAATTCCAACAAAGGGTTAACGTAACAGGAAATACATTTTTAATAGTATTTCATTCTTTGTAAGAACTTCCATCAAGAATGCAAAACAGAAACTAAGAAATGTGTATTTGTAATCTCACAAACCAAGGATGTAATGAGACCAGAGTACCAGGAACCAAAGAAAACCAACAGAATGCATCTCTACAATTAAATAAAAGTAAACCCCCAATGAAACTTCTAAATATTTCCAGACAGCAGAATATAAACTTTCCACCCTTGCCTGTGCCAACAGTGTCATGGCCCACGTAAAGAGCACAAAGTTGGAATCAAGACCACACCTGATAGGCTGTTTCACTACAAACAGGGGACAGTGCAGGGGAAATACTAGAAATGTCCTTTTGAATACTGCTGGCTCCTGGCTTTGGCCTCCCCACCCCGCCCGCCTCTGTCTTTCTCTCTGAGGTGAATCAACTTCTCTGCCTCTCTGTAACTGCTGAGAGGACAAAACTCTTCTTCTGCTGGCTCAGTGCCCAGATGGCCCCAAAGGAGCCAAGCCAATCCCGGCCAGGAGCTTCTTTCCAGGGCTCCCCTATGGGTGCAAAGTCACAGGGCTTTGGGCTACCTCTGCTGCTCCCCC